ATTTTTAAAGTAAAACCAATGTTAGCACATACCTGCTATCTACCAGTTATGTTGTCAGAGTTCCTGCTGTCCTAGTTTCCAAAAAGGGGGTCAAATGAATTGCAACTTCAACACACAGAGAATGCCAAGTAGAGAAAAAAATGTTGCATGTTTCAAAACTGAAATAAATCTAGGGTGTTGTAGCTTGTGTTTCATTTCATGCAAATTTTCCATCGTTAACAGCTCATTTTGTAATTTCCACCCCAAACAATTAATACTTTGTTGCTAAGTATTCTTAGACCTGGTTGTTTATTAATTATTGTATCTTCTGCAATCCATAGCAGTGGTCGCCAACCAGTGGCCAGGGACCACTGGTGGTCCGCAAGAAAATTTTGGTGGTCTGCAGAGAAATGTCCCCTTCAAAGCACCCTCCCAAAAGCAATTAATCCAGGCTGCATGGGAACACAAGACTGTGCCGCCCACATGGCCCACCCACCCACTGGCCCCTGCCCTTTGGCCAAGCGCAAACCTTACCTTGAGTAGAACCATGACAGCTGGAACTGGAAGGTAGAACCAAAGGCGGGGGAGGGAAATCCACTCTGGGGTGGCTTGCTGACATTGGTGGGAAAGTCGGTCCCATATTCCAGGGCTGCAGTAGTCACAGGACTGGCCCTTTGGTCATCCCAGAGCAGCTGCTCCTCCACCCGGGTGCATCAGCCTGCCATGGACTGAAGGAGCAGCTGCTACAAGATGACCAAAGGGCCAATCCTGTGACTATTGCAGCTCTGGAATATGGGACCGACTTTCCCACCAATGTCAGCAAGCCACTGTCAAAATTCATATTAGTGGTCCACAGAATTTAAAATTATGAGCTTCGTGGTCCCTGAGGTCCAAATGGTTGGCGACCCCTGATCCATAGGGCTCTTCCAAGCCTGATGAGTCCTGTGGTGGATCTCAATGGCTAATTTTGGTTTCAAAATCGAAGGTGCTCTGGATCTCAATTTGCTGTGAGAGGGAATGATTTACATTTTTCTCCATCCATTAAACTCTCCTCTTCCATCCAGTGGAAGCCACAATGGTGTCATGTGCATCACGACATCATCACAACAGGAATGACGTATGGCCAGTGGTCCCCATCCTTTTGGGCACCAGGGAATGGTTCCATGAAGAAAGTTTTTTCCGGAGACCAGAAGGTTCATGTTTTTTCATGCTGACTGCATCCCGCAGATGGAGCTTTACTTGTTTTCGCGGTCCTGTTGCTGGCATGCTGTGCCAGTCTATGGACTGGGGGTTGAGGATCCTTGATTGTATGCTGTGTGTATTACCTGAGTTATGTGATAATGTGCCTGATGCCTTTGATCCCCAGCAGAGACTTGCAAGCATCATAGTCAGTGGTGGAATTCAAAATATTTTACTACTGGTTCTGTGGGCGCGGGCTTTGCGCCCGTGTGGGCGGAACATTCTAAAACGGGCAATTTTAGGCATGAAAACTTACCGTCAGCATTGTTGAGTAAAACATCTGGGGCGTGGCAATCTGCTCTGCTGCACCTATCAGCTGAGCTACAAACAAAGGAAATATAGGATAGGAAAGGGCGGGGGTGGGTGGGCGGGGCCAACTGCTGATCGGTGCTACTGGATTGCTAGAACCGGTGCAAAACGGCAGCATACCACCACTAATCATAGTCTCTCTTTCTGACTTTGAGTTGGCTTTGTCTGTGCCTAGTAACTTGGAATTAGTGCAGCACAAAAGAGACAGATTTGAACATACATACTGCAAGTAGCATGCGTTAATATTTTTTATAGTCCAACACTTTGATCACAAGCTTACAGTATTTGTTCTTAGTTCAATTTTTGTAGCGAAGCATTTTAAGATAGATTGTATACTACCAGCACTACTGAATTGAAGCAGTTTTATACCTCTTGTGTTCTCTTTATCATGCAAACAGGGTAGATTCACACAACACACCGAACGTAGGTTAACAAAATACACTGTGTTCGCATCGTCCGCCACACCTAAATAAATCATATTATGGCTTGATATGGTGGTTCACGCAACAATGCTAAGAGAATAGTTTTCCTCCATCGTGTTGAAATACAAGTGACCCAACTCTACTTTAACCTAGTCTAGCCCATTGTGTGATTCAGCCACAGCATTGCTGCGTCACCCTTTCAAGGATTCAAGGTTTTAAGTAAGCTGATAGGCTAAAAATGTAATTATTCCTTCAGTCTCAATTATCCCTCTGAGTCTCATAGATAGCCTTTTGCAACTAAGAGAATGTCCTCAGTTAAGTAATTAAGAGACTGATTTCCCCCAAAGCAATAATGCCAATTGTGCCATAGTACAGTTTTGCTGCTTGTTTGGAATGCACAAAGAAGACCAAAAGAAAACCACAAGGGATAACAAGACGGTCGCAGGACTTGTGGAAAAAAAAGGTAGAGCCATGGAAAGAGGTCTAAAAAAAGGGAGGCTTCTACATTGACTACTCATGTAAACCTATTTAAAACTAATTTAAATAGCATCAAGGATCACTCAGTCTACTCAGAATGATTGATTTTGTGCAGTGTATTCATGGCTAGAGATATTCAATAGGGGAACTGCAAGTTCTATCAAATTCCAGTTTCCTTTTGAGCAAGCATGCAGATTTTAGCTTCAGGAATTCTTGAAGACATGAGAGAGAGACACACACACCCAGCCATCCATTTAGCAATTCAATCCCAAGGCATCCTTAATTGAGAATAAATCCAGTTCCACTCAACAGGATTTATGTAAGAGAAAGCCTGCATCAATCAAGTTGCATTTCTGTTACAGTATATCTTCATGTCCCTTCTGTGTTCCTGTCAATCTCTTGGAGGGTTTCTTAATGATCAACCAAATTATACAACAAAACAATGGATTTTCCGGATAATGATTGCATTTGCATAGGCTACCTCAAAAAGGTCCAGGTAATGACCACGGTTTTTTAACCTCCCGTCCCTACAAGGCTTTTATTAAAACTTTCTTTGAATACAAAGCAGTCATTATCTTGGATTTACAAAAACTAGGAGTGTGAAAGGAAATCTTGACATAAGGTAGCTTCAATTGCCAGTTTGCATAAACTTCAAATGGTGATGTTCTGTGTTTGAATTACCCAGGAAATCTATGATTTACTTAAAAACCATGATTAGTACAAGTACAGTAATATGGCCAGCAGTAGGCTTCTCAACTTAATGTGAGAACCTATTTAAGATAATTTATATGGCCTCCCTCTCAACTCTCAATGACTCTGGATGGCTTACAAAAAATTAAAAAACATATGAATATGAATGCAACTCCATATATTGCCTCGTTATCTTTTAAATAGCAGAAAGTGATCCAAATGGAAAGTCTTCATTGCCCTGCTTTGGATTCCTAGTTTGCCCTTTAATTAAACAATTATTTATTGCATCTTCTTAGAATTTCTGACCTGTCTTTAAACATCTGAAATGCCAAGCTACCTTCAAATTAAGACCCACATTTTAAAAATGCCAAAAAAGTTACATTTATCTTTATAGTTATGCAAACCCTGTCATTTAAACAGGCACACTCCAAAGGACAGTTAAAAACCAGACACGCCATATTAAAAGTCCAGCTTCAAAAGTGCCCCAAGGCGAATGGGAAATAGTTATTTTGCTACCCTGTGAAAACGGAGGCTGAAGGGGCATTAAGGTTTGGAGCCAGTAGGAAAGAGCTCCCTCCAGACCCTGGCAAATAGTCTTTCCTCTACAGACAGCCCTAAATCCCAGAGGGAGTTTAAAGATTAAACTTTAAATCGAGTCAGGCAAGCAAAGGGTGGCTGCCAATGCTGAATCATTTAATCAGCACAGCTGGCCTGGTTGAAGCAACTGAATCCAGGCCATTCAATCCACCTGGTGCGGTTTCCTCTACTCCCCTCCCAACTTCCATTAATTAAGGTTTACCGGTTGGGAGCTGAGGGGGGGAATCCCACTGACCATGAGTAAGTAGCAAAAAATCTTGACTTATGACTGTATCTGAACCCCCCCCCACAATTTAAGTTGCTAAATGAGACATTTGTGAAGTCAATTTTGCCCGATCTTATGAGTTGGGTTGCTTCAGTTGTTAAGCGAATAACGGCCATCGCTAAATTAGTAACCTGGTTGTTAAGTGAACCTGGCTCCCCTTGTTGATTTTGCTTGCTGGAAGGTGGCAAAAGGGGGTGGCATGGCAGACACAGACACCTCCCGACTCTGGAATGGTCATAAATATGAATCAGCTGAATTTTGATCACCTGAGTATGAGGACATTGCCACAGTGTCAAAAAACCGGTCCTAAATCACTTTTTTTTCCAGTGGCCTTGTAACTTCGGTCACTAAACGAACGGTTGTAAGTTGAGGACCGACTCCATTTGGCGCCCTCTTGTGGCCCTCCGGGTTTTTCTCAATTCAGACCCGCCAAAAGTGGCGATTCGTCAAACTCCTGTCGGAGTTTTAAGCAACCTCGCTTTTCCGTTTCTGCCGAGCCGCTTCCTCGCCCCGTCCTTTGCCTTTTGCGCGCTCTTCTGAGGGAATTCCTCGCCTCGGGCTCTCATGGTTCAAAAAAAAAAAAAAAAGCATAAAGGCGCCCGCCCTCTCGTTTGGTTTACCCCACCAGAACGAAACTCCTCGACTCTCCCATGGGGTTTGGGGTGGGGAAAAGCTCAGTCGTCCCGGGAGAGGGTCCCGGGCCAGCGCAAGTTTGGGCAACTGCTGCCCTCTTTGGGTTTGCTCCCTGCCCGAACAATTAAAAACGTAGCAAGCCGGAGGGAAGATCGGCAGGAGGAGGAGGAGGGGAGATTTCCCCGAAGGAAACATTGCGGACGTGCCGCTCCCTGGCTGAGGGCCCCCCCTTCCCGCTAGGAAAGAGTTAAAAGACGCGGCTTCCTTGCCGGGCAAAGCAGGTATCCGAGTTTCGGAGCTCCGCCTCCTCGTGGTTGCAAAAGCCACTCAGGTGCTGCCGTCCTTTCCTCCAGCCGCGCCCTTTCCCACCCCCACCAACGCGCTGGCATATAAAGTCGGCGCTCAGCTTACTCACGCCGTTGGCGTTCTGCTGCTTTCCAGCTGCCCCGATTCTTTCACCTTCTTCCCGCGCTTCCTTGCAAACTAAAAAAAAAAACACACAAAACAACCCACCATGATGAAGAACTACCGGAACACGTCGAGCACCGTCCGCAGTTTCAGCAGCCGGTCCTACACGCCTGGCCCCGTCGCCGGCTCTCGGATGAGCACCTCTTACTCCTCCACCTCCGGCTTCGGGGGCGGCAGGTATGGCGCTGGGGCCAACTTCCGCGGAGCTTCCGCGGGGAGCCTGGGGGGCAGCATCGCTGCGGTCAGCGTCAACAGGAGCCTGCTGGCCCCGCTCAATTTGGAAATCGACCCCGCCATCCAGCAAGTGAGAACCAAGGAGAAGGAAGAGATCAAGATCCTCAACAACAAGTTTGCCAGCTTGATTGATAAGGTGCGTTTTGCCCGCTTTGGGACGGGTCTTTACAGAAGGGGGGTGGAGGCGGGCGGGCGGGCGGGCTAAAAGGGGGTTGTTTCTTGAGCAAACGTTTCCCTGCCTGTTTTGCCCAAATGAGCCTCTGCTCTTACAAAACTTGTAGGTGTAAGTTTTGGGGGAAAACGGAGGCAAGGAAGGGAAAAGCGAGGCGTCAGCTGCATGCGCTCAGTGGAGGAATTGGAGGGCTTTTCCCCTTGAACAAACGGCGTCTCTGAACAAGGGGTGGTTCTTCGCAGTGGTGGTGAGGGGGCTGGCAACGGGCGTTAAGAGACAGGAGGCCAAAGAAAATTCCTGCTCCCACGGCTGCTTCTGTAGAGGTAATTAAACTTGAGCGGTGGTGTGGACGCCGAGCAAAAAGCTCCTCCTGCAGGTGTGAAGGTTAAAGAGAAACTAATAAGACGAGCCTCTAATTTCATGTTTTAAAAGAGAAACAGATGCCATTCAACCTTACTTTTTATATTGGCAAAACCTACTGAATTTCCGGGATGACACACAAAGTTTATGATCCCTTGGGATTGAGAGAAAAGTTCATGGCATTGCATTAAACTGCAAGTTTGCTTTGTTATGGCTTAGTGTGTTGGAGCCAACCTAATCATTATCAGCCTACAGTTTGCTAGATAAATTGAAGTATGACTTGGAAAAAAATTTGATAAGATTATGTATATACAGAAATATATACTAATCTATATAAATACTAGACACTATATAGCATCTATATAGATTATATAGTGTAGATTAGATACTAATCTTATCTGAGACACACAGACACACACAAATTTATATTTTTTAAAGTCTTTGGAGCCTGATATTGGTCCTGTGCTTGGTATTTCTAAGCCTACCAAAGCAATGTGAGAAGGTGTTCGTAAATTGTGCTTTTTCTATGGAATCACATCTTGAAAATAGCTGCTTTATTTGTCTGGCAGATATGAACTGAAAAGGACAGTGGATTGGGTTCAGATATCCATTTTGTGTGTGTGTGAGGATAGCTATTCTCTGGATGTTTGCATTATTTGGGGGATACACTTTTTTTAGTGTGCTTAATCCTATAATAAACACTAGTTAATCTGTTTCTTCCCATCTGTTCTTATCTGTTGTCTTTCTAAATTTTCTATGCTTAGTTATTGAGGACAATACATATTGTGAAAAAGAACAATATAAGTACACATATGCAGAGGTATTGTACCTTCACAGACGTAGCTAATCCTAAAACTGACTACCTCAAGGCTGTGGTATCTGGCCTGCAAAAATCCAGATGGTTTCAAGCCAGCATTGAAGATTACCTTTCTGTACCTCTTTGCTGCCATCTAATGGTCATTTAGATTTTTGCAGCTTGGGTTTGTTAGCTCTAGATAACTGAAGCTGGAATGCTGCTGTATGTATAATAGTATCCTTGTTAAGGAACTTTGAACTAATGTGTGCAAAATCAGCCTTTTTTGTGGCTTGTGGTACTGGCGAGAAGAACCCTTTAAAATCCAGAGATAAGAATATTTAGTATTCAGCCAGTATCAGGCAGGTCTTAACAGTTAAACTGCAGTCAAGGCTATTGGGAGGAGATTGAAGGGAGGAGCAATGCCCATGCCTGTGGGAAGGGTGGCTGCAGGGTCAGAATAATGCAATGCACTCCTACTTTCTTAATAGCTGGCAAATGGGAGCGGAATGTGTTGTGTTGTACAATGGGGAAACAGAGTGCTTCAATTTGAAAGGAACATGCAGTACAAAAATTATTTTCCAGGTCTAAAGCAGGGGTCTCCAACTTTGGCAACTTTACAACATGTGCTGGCTGAGGAATTCTGGGAGTTGAAGTCCACAAGTTGTAAAGTTGCCAAGGTTGGAGACCCCTGCTCTCTAGCGTGTGTCCACTCCTCTGCTCGTTGTAGAATACCTTATGCCACCAGACTTGAAATTCTAGAACTAGAAAACCTTGAATTACGCCGTCTTCGGTCTGATTTAAGTATGGTATATAAAATCATACATTGCAATGTCCTACCTGTCAATGAATACTTCAGCTTCCACCATAACAACACAAGAGCACACAATAGATACAAACTCAAAGTTAACCGCACCAAACTTGATTGCAGGAAATACGACTTCAGCAATAGAGGGGTCAATGTCTGGAATACTCTACCCGACTCTGTAGTTTCTTCCCCAAACCCCAAAAACTTTAACCTTAGACTGTCTACTATTGACCTCACCCCTTTCCTAAGAGGTCTGTAGGGGGCGTGCATAAGCGCACCAACGTGCCTACCGTCCCTGTCCTATTGTTTCTCTTATTCTTCTTTTATTTTTCTTATATGTACCCATTTCATGTATTCACAACTATGTATACACTTATACTTATTATCTTGTAAACAATTGGCAAATCAAATAAATAAATAAATAAATAAATAAAATTCCATTCAAGGTTCTTCAGCCATGAGCTTTCCCCCTCTCCTTGTTCCCTCGCCCCTTTCCAAGTCTCCACCGTCTCCACAGCCAGTCTTCTGAATGGGAAGGTTCTCAGTTGGGTAGGTGGCTTTCTGCAGAGTTCCCTCCATGCTGCTTTCACAGGTGAGGTTTCTTCAAAGTTTGCACTGCCTACTTTGAACCCATATTCCTTGAATACCCAAGGAATTCCAGATATATACCTACTAGTTGGAAGCCTCCGTGAACTTTTTTTAAAAAAAAATACAGAAACAGGATGTATGAAGAGATTGACTGCGTGAAACAGCAATTTCCCTAATTATTTTGGCTCATCATAAATCAGACAGGTGCTACAGCTTCAGGTGTTTCCTGAACACCTCTATCCCTTGAGCAGCATATGATGTGAGAGCTACCACACCTCTGCTCTTGTTATTGCCAGAATACTGCATCAACAGAGATCTGGAATCTTTGGAGAAAAATGTTTTCTCTAGATTTTCCTGAGCGACCCCCCTAGCATTCTCACCATGTACCCTAAAGCAATAGGGCTGGATGGAGCTGGTTGCTTCTAAGAAGTGCGCATTTTAACACACAGTTTTTCCTAATGTTTGTAAATCATCTTGAGTTTGTCAAAGCAGCTTTGTACCCTTTTCTTCAGTCAGAAATCAGCCTATAACTTTCTGGTAGGGGACCATCTGAAAGAAAGGAGAAACCCAAAAATTTTTTGAGGGGAAGGAAAAATGTAATGACCACCCAGATGAATAGAAAATGAGTTGTTCTAACATAACTCTAGTCCCTACTGTGTCTATTCTCAGCCTGTTCTTCTTCTGGTTGTCTTACTGCTTCCCACTGTTCCCCTTCCCTAAGGCAAAATCGTTCATCCAAAGCTGTGTTTATGTTTTTATAATAAATGCTCAGTCTTTCATTAGTGTGTGAACTCCTCACAAGACTGTCAAGCTGCAGTTACTCCATCACTAAAGCATCTGCCTCTTCAGTAATCTTCTGAATTGCTAAGTGCATTCTGCCATTAAAAACAGGTTCTGAGTTTTAAGTCTTGGCTAACCATGCTTCACATTAGATGTTGGCTCTCCATCGCCAGCGCTTCCTCTTCTGCCTTTGTCATGGCTCAGATAAGATATGTTGAATCAAGGCAGGGTGACAAGTGACTTTTTAAGACCCTTCTGCCTCAAACTGTTTTTGACTTTTAAATATGCTGGGACCGTGTTTCCAAAAATTAAATATTGTTTCTGTAATAGTGGTTTTCAGGTATATAATCACTTAAATATTTGTCCAGACCAGAGGTGCACTCCCAAAGCTTTGGGTGTGGCCCCCAGAGTGCCTTTGAATTGTAATTTGTAATGAGTGGAGGGGGAAAAAGTTATTGTAGGCCCAAGAAGTAATCAAATTCATTGGGTCTAATTCAAAGTAAATTAGACCTAACTTTTGCTCTTGCCTCTTCTACACTTTGACGTGCACCATTTTGCCTTGGGTCAGTGAAATATCAGTGTATCTTAAGCCCAAAAGGAGCCATGCACTTCTTCATCTTGCAATCTGTTTGCTGTCCTTTTATTCAGAGCAGGCTTATTCCACAGAGAAACTGGGAATTGTCAAGTTTGCAGGGTGACACAACCAAACACCCTAAACTGAAGTTTGCTCCTGCAAGTAACTATATAAGAAAGAGCATTTTCAAATTCCAGTTTTGCTGATTTTTCCAACCCTGGGACACTTTAGAGCTATTGGACTATGAATTTCCATCTTCCTTAGCTAATGAGAATGATGCAATGGAAGAATATCACATTGAGACAGACTATTATTGCCAGAATAAGCAGAGAAGTGTGTGATGTAAAATGTTTTTCATGAGTCTTTTGCTAATTTGATTTTAAAGGGAAATTACGGAGTTATTTTTATTATTTGCTTGTGCTTTCATTAGCCCAACCTGAATAAGAGGTGCTACAATTTTTAGCTGTCTTTTTTCCCCCTTGGGTCTGGCTTTCCAGTTATTTAAAGTTGTTTAAAATAAATCAGATCTTTTCATTTGGGCTAAAGGTTATACTTGACTTCTTTGTGGATACAGTGGCTCACATTCCAGAAGGCAGAAGAGACTAGGATACAACTAAATTTAATTCAGTTAAATTAAAATCAGGTAAATAATATGATTGTTGCTTGGGAATTTAATGTTCTGTTTATATTAAACTTTACAATCTAGTGCCAACTTCCCGAAATATCCTGGGGTGAATGCCAGTCACACTAAAAGGTTACCTGTAAGTATAGGGTTTCAGATTGTATCCTTTTAATCTAAAATAAAACCTGGCATAAACTGAAGTCCAGAAAGTAACCTGTAGCAGATACATTTCCTCAACCACTATAGATTCCATTTGGGGATCCAGGAAGCACCACTAAGAAATAAATTATGTATTGAGCCAAGAGGGATACTTGGCATAGTATGTATATCTTTTGTTCTCGGACAAAATTACTATTCTGGTAATTGACTAGTACTTAATAGTGTGCTAAGTTTGGGAAGGCCTGCTGAAATCCATTTGCTTATAGCAGAAACTAGAGCTTCTGTGAATCTTTTCTGACTGTAGGGTGATAGCCTACCTTATGCCAGTAGTATATGACCTACCTTATGCCAGGGAAATACCAGTTTGACCTCTGATGAAAAGGATAAATGGGGTTGCCCATCTGAAGAGCTATAGAGCTACATGGGTGCTGCTGAAGTATCAGGAATTTACTTCTAGTCTGTTCTCCCTTCCCTCTCAGGTTCGCTTCCTAGAACAGCAGAACAAGATGCTGGAAACCAAATGGAGCTTCTTGCAGAATCAGAAGACTACACGGAGCAACTTGGACAGTATGTTTGAGGCCTACATCAACAACTTACGCCGGCAGCTGGAAAATGTGGGTCAGGAAAGGGCAAGGCTGCATGCTGAGTTGGGAAACATGCAAGGCCTGGTGGAAGAGTTCAAACACAAGTGAGTCGGGTCCTTCTGGTTCCATTGCTCTGGGTAGGCCGGGGCTGGACAAAGTAGCTTTACCACCCATCTTATGCTTAGACCTATGGAAGTGCCACAGCAATCCTTCATTCTGCTGTGATGGCTTAGTTTACCCAAACTAATTTTTTAAATCCCTGCCACACCTTAAAATTGTTAATGGCTGCTGGTGGGTTGTCTTCTTTTGGGTTTTGCAATCCTTGTGTTTGGTTTTTGCACTGTTATCATAGCTCCCAGTCTCTTGATCTTGACCTGTGTCCACCAGGTAACCCTGTACATATTTTATTTGATGTGATATAAAAATATAAAACTCCATGGACAGAGTTGGAAGGATAACAAGGTTAAAGATTTATTTCTTAAACTATGCTAAACAAAGGAATTGTACCAAAAGGCTAGGCAGGGATTATTTCCAGAAAAAGAAGGAAGTGGTAAACCAAAACCCAAATAAGCTCTCTTTGAAGTGTTTGAGGAAGTTGAGGATGGGAGGACATTGCCAAGAGAATTGTTCAGTCCTATTCCTCTACGTAGTAGCACACCCTCATCGCACACGGCAAAGCACTAATGGGAGAATTACCTAACTTGTTTTGCAAGTGTCTGTTTTTAATGGAGGCAGGGACAATGAGGACAAGCTGCATTGTTAGTATGTCATTCATTCCCCATTGCCTTTACAATCTTTACAACTTCCCTGGCAGGCTGGTGCTGCAACTCCAGGGCAGGAGTGCCAGGTTAGATGAGACTATTTTACAATGGAGGGAATGGGATATTGTCTTTAAGAATTTCCAGCTTTCCAAATATTTTTGATATTGGAAGCTGGACAAGGAATGCGAGGCCTGGAAACTCAAGGGAGTTTCCTTCGAAATACAGAGGAAGAGTTGGGTGGCAATAATTTGGGATCTTATATCTTTTCCAAAGAGTCATCGTGTACAACTCTTCTTTCCTAGGCGTTTTCAAAAGAAACGTTACACCTGTATTCTCTTGGTTGTATCCCTTGCAGAAATAGAAAGCTAACAAGTTAGGATTGGAAAAAGTGGGTGTTTGAGCATGGGGAAAAAGGCTGGTGAAAATGACCTCTTGCCTGTACATATTTTTGGTTTCACGCCCTGAAATTTCACACCCACGCATGGGAGAGTTAAGAACGAGGCAGAACCTGTGGTATCTTGAGTTTGTACCCAAATCAACTGTTCCTGGCTACGGCACATTCTTGCTCCAACTTTCCCAGTTCCGGAAGTGTTTCATGTGAAACCCTGGTAAATAGTTAAATTTGCGAGTCTCACCCTCATCTTTATAAAGGTGGAATAAGGGATGCCTAAGCAGACAAAAGGTAGCTGATGCTGAATGCATTTTGACTCTGCCAGATAGTCTTTGGGTTATAACCATTTCTTAGCAATCACTCATAGTTACGGTGCTGAATGAGGGGGGGCTCATCATCAGGTTCCTGCCTGTTGCAGTAAGTCGCAGCCATATGATTTCAATTTCTGATGTTTCCTGCTGGCTTCCCATAACCAAAGTCAATAAGAAAGCCATCAGGAAGTCAATCTGAAGGTCCTCACTTACTGCCTGGTTGGTCCTTGTTTAAAACCGGGACTGCTGTTGTTAAGCGTTGCGGTCATCTGATAATATATGGTCACATGACGTTGTGCTTCATAACTACACTGCTTAGCAGTTGAGTTCCCGATCCCAATTGCCCTCTTGTAACCTGAAGACTACCTGTAATGTGTGCCCACTTCAAGATTGTAGCCAGAAAGCAAATATGATGAAGGTATCCTTAAACTGCTTTGAGTCATCCTCTGCCTCTACTAATGCTCTAACAGCTGGTTTGTTGTGGATTTTTTTTATGGGGGGGGGAGAAACTTTTAGGCCCAAATCTTAAATGTCTTTCAGCCATTTTACTTTTTAAATTTTTTTAAAAATATTCTAGGATTCCTTATGGGCTCCAAAGGCATTTCTGCAAATACAGTTACTGTAATGCTAGTGGTTGACAAGTTGCTTTGCAGAATGGCAGCTTTTCACATTTTTAAAAAATTAAAACAATCTAAATAGAATTTAAAAAATAGGACAAGGCAAGAGCCTGAAACGCATTTTAAGAGGGATATGGACATTATATCAAAAACCTCAGCAAAAGCTGGTTTGAATAGTCAAGCTACCATTCCGGGATTTCTCTGGGTTTCTGAATGTATTGGTCCTATACAGTTTGAATTCTGTCCAAATAATGCAATTCACTTTTGAACTATGAATTTACTGTGCAGCTGCCATGTTTTCATGAAGATTTTTAATAGAATATTATGCATAAATGAAGACTGACCAGATAATTATTGACCAATGGAAGAGAAATGTTTGTAATGTTAAGGGGAACCACAAAAAGTTACTCAAAAAGTAACCTTTGATGGGAAAATACAAATACAGTCCTATACATTTTTTAAATAAACTTTATTAGTCTTTTATGTCTTTTAAAAACCAAAAAATAATCCTATGCATTTCTTAATCTACCTTATCCTGCCTTTTTAACTAAAACATTCAAAAACAAAGTTAATCATAAAATAACCTTTTAAAACCACCATAAATCTTTTAATTTAGGGCCTTCCACTTTAACTCCTAGCATCTATATTTTGGCAGTAATTAGTCAGGGGATGCACACTTGGCACATAGTCAGATGCATCGCTAACTTTACATATTTCTAATAATGATCCTAGCACACGGTGCTTAGTCTTGGTCCAAATTCCATGTAATAGTAACCACTTAACTTCCTTTGCCCCTGCAGGTATGAAGATGAAATCAACAACCGTACTGAAAAGGAGAATGAGTTTGTCCTTCTGAAGAAGGTAAGTGGCAGGCTGATTGTGTTTCTTGGTTAATTATCACAATTTTGAGATTTTGTGTATGAGTCTATACCTATAATGGTGCACTCTTCCCTCAGGATGTGGATGAGGCTTACATGAACAAGGTTGAATTGGAATCCCGTCTGGAATGTCTGACAGACGAGATCAACTTCCTGAGGCAGCTTCATGATGAGGTAAATAGTGGATTTAATTGAGTGAAGAACGGCTTTTAGAACGGCTTTTTTAAATGTACCCTTTTTGAAGACATGGGCAGGCCAAGGAACTGTGGTGTCTGATCAGGTGACAAAAAGGGCATCTGTGTTCCTTTTCTACATACTGAAGCAGCCAAGACTGGCCACTGCAGCTAATTTCAATGACTCCTTTAGCTAGTTAATGGGGTTGGCAAGCTAATAAGAGGTTGCCCCAAGACAGCTCTAGTGTTGTGTCAAAGCCTTGTAAAAAGTCCCAAACATGGTTATATTCTTACGTATTTAGTTATAGTTTGCCTTGCTACACAGTGACATTCTGATATAGTTCCATTTCTGCATGAAATATGAGAACCATGTAGTAAGTTGTTTGCTATTTTATTACAAGGGAGAACTTTTGGTGGCTGAGAACCCAAGTTAACATTTGTATGGGGAAAAAGCTGTGGGGAGAGGGGTGGTGATGCAAAGAAAATAGACGAAGATACACTACGTCCTTCCTTTTATACATTATGTTTAGCTTATTTTATGACCTATATTAAATGTGGTTTTGCTTTCCATGCAAACGGGACAGAAAAGGTACTGTCGGATTGTGGCAGCTATAGTTGGAAATGGCTTTGAGGCTGAAAAAAAATGGAGACTACATTCAGCTTTAGTGAGGAGGTCCCTCACAAAGTGCTGTTTGGTTTTGTTTGCTTTGCTAGGAAACAAATACATTTTTTACTGAAAGCTTCCTTCCCCAGAGACTCCGGTTTAGCAAGGTGGTTCTTCCTGGTTGGCAGCACTTCGCCTGTAATAAGTTTTAACTCTTTAACTATCATTTAATTCAGAGGCTTACGGCCTTTCAGGCACCAGGGACCGATTCCATAGAGAGAGGTTTTTCCATGGACCAGAGGGGGCTTCGTTTTTCGTGCTGCTTGCAGCCTATGGATGGGGCTTCGCTTGTTTGCATGGCCCAGTTTCTGGCATACCATGGCCCAGAGTCGGTCCATAGACTGGAGGTCGGGGATCTCTGATTTTAACTGGTTCTTGCCATTAGTTTTGAGCCTTCACCTGTTGAATCAGAAGTTTCTTGCCAGTAGAGGAATGAGTAGGAAAGATTTGAATACTCACCTCATGGTTCCCTGGGGGTTGCTTCCTCTTTGATTCGGGATCATTCTAAATGTTACCTTTTGATACAGGAGCTGCGTGTCCTGCAGTCTCAAATCAGCGACACCTCTGTGATCCTGTCCATGGACAACAACCGCAGCCTGGACTTGGACGGCATCATTGCTGAAGTCAAGGCTCAGTATGAAGAAGTTGCTAACAGGAGCCGGGCTGAGGCAGAGAGGATGTACCAGATCAAGGTGAGCTCCATGCTGACTCCTGGCTCTCCTTGACCGACCGTACCTGATGAAAAATTAATTCCCAATGAAGAGCTTATAGGGCCTTCACTCATGCTAGGAGTTGGGGATAACTTCATTTCGCAGAAGGAAGGAATCAACGCTATACACAGTGACGAAAGAGCACCATCATCATCCACACTGTGTTCCAGAGTCTTTTGCTCATCTCCATCTCCTTTCTTTGTAGAGCAATGGAATCCTTTTCCCACTATTTTTATCTGTTGAAAATATTGGCCTTTTTTACGAGGAAGTCTGGAGAATCCCAATAGTGCAATAACTCTTGTATCGATGGATTGATTTGTGTAATGTCTAAAGCTGCCTGATTCCATGATAACTCTGGCTAGTGTACATGTTAAAAACAATTGAAAACAATAACCAGCAAAAAGAAGAAGAGATGCTTAGAGATAGGTAACACTATCTTAAAAAAAAAAACTATAAAAAACACAGTTTCAGTTTGGTGTAGTGGTTAAAGCATCAGATTAGAAACTGGGAGACTAATAGAGAATAACAGAGTTGGAATGGACCTTGGAGGTCTTCTAGTTCACCCCCCTGCTTAGGCAGGAAACCCTATACCATTTCAGACCAATGGTTATCCAACCTCTTCTTAAAAACTTCCAGTGTTGGATCATTTACAACTTCTGGAGATAAGTTGTTCCACTGGTTAATTGTTCTAACCAGTGGTTGGATTCAATTTTTTTTACTACCTGTTCTGTGGGCGTGGCTTGGTGGACGTGGCAGGGGAAGGATATTGTAAAATCTCCAGTCGGGTGGTATTTGCCAGTTCTCCAAACTACTCAAAATTTCCACTACCAGTTCTCCAGAACTGGTCAGAACCTGCTGAATGTACCACCTCTGGTTCTAACTGTCAGGAAATTTCCCCTTAGTTTCTAGGTTGCTTCTCTTTTTGATTAGTTTCCATCCGTTGCTTCTTGTCCTGCCTTTAGGTTCTTTGGAGGATAGGTTGATACCCCCCTCTTCTTTGTGGCAGCCCCTTAGATATCAGAATACTGGTGGTATGTTACCCCTAGTCCAGGACTAAGTTCCAATTCTGTCTTCTTGGAGCGGGGGGCACAAAGCCATTTCTGAAAAAAAAAACTTTCCAAAAAAACTTTCAGGGACTTATCCAGACAAGTCTGATTGAACAGAAAAAAAGAAGAAAAAAAAGTAAAAGCACAAGCATCAACCCTACAATTTTGGAATTCCATTTTAGCAAATCAGTTTAATTGATCTGAATGGAAATGTCATTTATCAGATCATTTCACTTACTTGACTCAAATTCAGTTGTGGCCTCCATTTTCCCCCGGTGGCCTAGGCATCCTTTCACGGCACGCTGGTCAGTGTTGAAGCTTAGCATCTGAGTTGAGGTTGGGGAAAAAAAAAACCCAGTTGCTTGGTATCCAGTACTATAACTCGGACAGTATGCTAACAGCACTATTATGCTAATGATGGAAGCCCTAGATGATTATTTTCAAATAGAGAAGTCGATTGAGACTAGGAGATAATTACTTGCCTGAGGTTATCCAAGTAATAATTGTGGTTCACGTGAGTTTTATGATGCATTTCTCAGTTTATGATGCATTTTTCAGGTTGTTACTCAGACACTCCTGGCAGCTTCAATAGACCAGCTGTTTGAACGGAAATGGAGGATAGATAACTAGACACTTTCCTCAAGAGATTAATTTTTGCATTTACTCTCTTGGCTTAGATGGGATTATTGGAGAATGAATATTAAAATCAAACAAGCCACACAATAGCTTTAGGTAATCTCTCTATATAAAAGCGAAATACCACTCACACATCAACTCAAAATCTCCAAAACCATAAAGCCTACAAACTTGTAATTTGGCACGTATGTTCCCCTTGGCTTCTAGGTGCTCACTAAGAAAGGATTTTTTGAAATGACCATCACAGCATTAGTATTTCGTATATTATTATTAACACACTCTGATGCTAAGGAGTTCTACTCCCCCTGCCCACCTGAAAGGAAATCTGTTCCAAATGCAAAACACAAGAGCAGAGGGGAGGAGTTTCAGTTTTACAGCAGCAACCAGCTTTAGTACAGAACAGTTGAGCTAAGCCATGCCCAGGCTCCTTGCTGTCTCCTTGCTCACACAGCAAATACTGTTTCAGTTTCCATGTTTGTTTCCAAACAGCCCTCAACTGTCTCACACACTGACAGGATGCTAGCAAGATGAATACTGAGGGTTGCTGGTAGGCAGAGGCACAATTCCCCCCCCTTATTTTCCTCCCAAAAAACTAAGCCCGATCACATAGTTTCGTAGCGAGGCACAGGTATAGAGCTAGTATTACCTAAAGCTATAATGTGGCTTGTTTGAATTCGATATCTGAACTGAACTGTTGTGACTTATAAAGCATGGATTATAGTTCAGTGAGGTATGCAAAGCAAGGCTCTGGTTTATACAGCAGACTCTGCCTAAAATAAACCAGAGTTTAGAGAATGTGCGATCCCAGTCAATGAGTTCTCCAGTTTTTTCTGCCTGCCCACAAGTAATCTAGACAGATTAAAATTTAGGCCTTCTTAATTGGAATTAAGGAGTTAATTCCAGGAATTAATACTGTCCTGTGGACCACTTTGTTGAAGACATGGTTGAGGTCTGTTTCTGTGTCTGTGTGTATAAAAATAAATAAAAGAACTGTAGTCTTTGCAACCAGTTCTTTGCTCCTGTGGTCTTCCTGGCATCACATCTCTTGTCCCTTCTATCTCCTCTCTTCAGTATGAAGAGCTCCAGACTATGGCAGGCAAGCATGGGGATGACCTCCGCAGCACCAAGAATGAAATCAATGAACTGAACCGAATGATAACCCGGATACAGTCAGAAATCGATGGTTTGAAAGGCCAGGTCAGAAATCTTATCTTCTGCAATCCTCCTTAAGATGGTCATGCTATAGTTCTCTGCTTTGCCCCCAAGGAACTTACAGATCATATTGGTCATCTCCAGCTTTCTACCAGCATCCAGAGTTATTGGACCAGAGCTCCTGCAGTCACTAACAACATGGATATGATGATATGGTTCAGTATCAGCTAGATTGGGAATGCCTGTATTAAGAAGCCCAGCCTTTTTTAGGGCAGAAGCGAGGATGATAGTAGTACCCACAGTTGTGTACGTAAAAGATCCTCAGTAAAGTCTCATCTCCAATACAGTTGCCTCCTCTATGCTGTTTCTGGCTTACAACTCTTCTAAATCCTGAAGTCTTGGGCTGCAGGAATGCTGCTGCTTCACGACTTCATGACTCAAGGAGTAAATGCCTGGGAGAGACTGACTTTTATTTGAACCCTTGAAGGCCATTCAGCTGACCTGAAGATCAGCTGACTTTCCTTTTGTGACCACATGAAGTGGATGGCTATAATGTCTGGGTATTGCCATTTCATCTAGCAGAGTAGGGATGGAAGTTGCTGGTATGATTGAAGGCCCGGGAATGTGAGTAAGTGCGGTTGAAGGCAAAAGGTAGCATGTTAAGCAGAGAAGGATGGATTTTTCAACCTTCCTTGCTTTCTTGAGTGTAGTGGGTTGGTGGTGGCGGCTTGTGCTCCTCTCTGCATTTTATTCAGGTTAATTCCTGTTATTTCCACCTATGATAGGTGGGATATGGTTATTCTGGGACTCTGCACAGCTTCTCACCTTAATATCTGTAGTGTCAAATTTTGTAACGGAATAAAAGGAAGGGATTGGGTAAAGAGCCTTGCTTGTGGCTTTCACCTTCTTGGGAGGAGATATGAAAGTACAGTGGAACCTCTGGTCGCAACAACAATCAGTTCCAGGACTATGGTCGTAACCCGATTTCGTCATGAGCGAAAGCACGACCGTCTGTGCATGCACAGACCAAAACAAAAAACATTTGGGTTTGCTTGGTCACCACCCGAAGATCTGTTTGCAACCAGAAGCAAAAATTCTAGTTGTCACCCAATTTGGTTGTGAACAGAAGCGTTCGCGACCCGAGATTCCACTGTATAAGTCATACAATCCAATTATAATTAATTGTGCTTTGATCAGGTATGGTTATCCTCATCTGGGAAGAGACAATTCACGTTACTTTAGGCTATTTTTCCAGGAACAAATCTGTCCACTGAATCTTAAATCCCCATATCATGAACCGGTGAAGGAATTTTGTAAAGCGCTGTATCCTCTCCAAACCCCCGCTTCCTTTCCTGCCTTTTTCCTGGTTTTGGAGACTTGAGCTGCTGTTTGAACTCTTTCTTCCTTGATCCCATACAGCGTGCAAGCTTGGAAGCGGCAATCACTGAAGCAGAGGAGCGTGGGGAACTGGCCGTGAAGGATGCCAACAGCAAGCTGGCTGAATTGGAGGGTGCCATGCAGCGAGCTAAACAAGACATGGCTCGCCAGCTGCGAGAGTATCAAGAGCTGATGAACGTCAAGCTGGCCTTGGATATAGAGATCGCCACCTACAGGAAGCTGCTGGAAGGAGAGGAGATCAGGTAAGGATTGGCCCAACATATGTACTCCACTCTAGAGTAACACAGCGATTGAGATCAGCGATGCATCAAGAAACTGTTTTGAAATTGTGTTCAAATTCAACTTGGCTGCAGAAACTTGTTCTGTAGGACTTAAATTTTGTCCGACTTAATGTCATTTCATGACTGATTTTTCAACCTTCCCTCTTTTTACAGGCTGGAGTCTGGAATGCAGAATCTCAGCATTCAGACCAAGACAACTGGTTATTCAGGTAAGCAAGTGTCGCATGTAGAAGAAGATGGGGGGAAGGGTGATCAAGATATCAATGCAAATGTCAGAAACTAATCAGAGCAGGGAATCCCGTATTTACTTAGAAGATTTAGACAGCCGCCCAATTCGCATAAATGCAATTCTGGGTGGCATGAGATATATATATATATATATAAATATTCGATTGCCGAATTAGATCTCAACATGTTTCAACACTGTTAAGTGATGTTGATCTCCCTTGTTTTCATTTGGGAACCTGTTTAACCTGCCGCCTACCCTGATCTTAATAAAGAATGGCTTGTCTTCTGACGATTTTTTTTTCCCCATAGAAGAAGTGAAATAAAATTATTTCATTTCCTCTATTTTACAAAGTGATGTAATAAATCAAAATTGTAATATTTCAGCATACAATTTTGGATTTCTTCCCTGAGTGAGGGTTGGTCTTTATGGCTTAAGTGATCCCACCCAAGTCCTATTTTATTACAGTCTCTTTTTTTCAGTTTTATTTCCCATGGCAGTTGAAAATCACTGCAGATTAGTTGGCAGAGGAATACGTGCCCTTATGAAGACAAACCATTTCAGAGGACAAACCATCATAGTTGAAGCATTTTTGGCTGGGCGCAATAGTTTCTTCTTTATTTTTTAAACTATTTTTTTAATTAAATATTTGTTTGCCACCTATCTTGCCACTCTTGGCATCTGTTCCCTGCAGCTTTCCCCCATCTTTGATCCTTGTTCCAGTAGATCTGGAGGGCACAGCGTGGAGAAAAATAGTTATCTGCATTAAAAAAAGGCCCTCTTTTACTTTGCAGAAATAATAGTGATAAAAAATAGGCACTGTGAAATTGTTTGTCCTCCAAAGATACTTTAAAGATCAAAGATGGAGATTGGCTTTAGCATAAAGTAGTTGCAAGGATGTACCCATGGTAAGATTATGTTGCAAGCAATTGCCTGGGCATTATTTTTGAGACTTTATGGGTAGCAGGTTGGTTTTGTTTTTGTTTTTTCCAAAAATTAAAAATTGGCTGTGTTCCTTTTCCTTAAATGGAGGGAAATTTGAAGTGTAAATGAGGGAGCTGGGCCATAACTGGCAGAAAAAGGCTGGAAGGCAGGGATTGTCCGTTCCTTGTCTAAAGCATGCAGTCTGCAAACATCTATTAGTTGGAGGTTGTTCAGAAGAGATTTCATCAACTTGATGTCTTCCAAATGTGTGGAACTCAGTTTTGATTATCTCCAAGTTGATGACAAACTGATAGAAATTACATTTGGAGAGCAGCAAGTTAGCAAAGACTGAGGTAGCATTTGGTGAGGACTCTTTGTGCCAAACTTTGTCTCCCCCCCCCTTGCAACTCTGAGGCCTTATTGCCCAAATTTTTAAGTTGTTGATTTCCAGAAATTCTGTGCAGTTGTACAGTGCCACATGAGAAACATGTGTACAAAGGGTGTGTTTCTGTGTGTAGAGAATCAAAATAAAATATGGGGCTGTATCCACTCCCATAAGACTGAAGAAATGGCCTGCTACTTATCTTTCCCTCTTCCCTATGGGACTTCAGGTAGTCCTCAACTTACAACCACAATTGAGCCCAAAATTTCTTTTTGCTGAGTAAAACAGTTAAGTGAGTTTTACCCCATTTTAGGACCTTTCTTGCCATAGTTAAGTGAATCACTGCAGTTGTTAAAATTAGTAACATGGTTGTTAAATGAATCTGGCTTACTCTCATGAGTTGCTGAGCCTCTGAATTTTGGATCATGTGTCAGCAGAGATACTGCAATGGTTGCAAGTGTGAAAAATGGCCATAACTCACTTTTTCCACTGCCAGGATAACTTTGAGCGGTCATTAAATGAACTGTTGTAAGTTGACTACAGTCTGTAAGATGAGAGCAATAGGGGAAATCTGTGTCTATTTTAGTCTGGGGTATTTCTTTCATACTCCCAGGGAATTTGGCATGGCAGGAGGTGCCACTATAACTGGACAAGGTAGCAAGAGAGAGTCTCAATTCCATCTGGGAAAGGAATGAAGAAAATACACGCATATAACCACTTCTTACTGGGCCACTCTTCCCATTTCTAGATTTGGGAGATAAAAGCTATAAAGATACCAAATGCTGGAAACTGTTTTTCTCTCCTTCACCAATATCCCATCAGTGGGGGCAGCTGTTGAAAAAAAAGGCAGGAAAGCAGCTTTCCCAAGCTAGCGAGAAGTCTTAACTCTTGTAGACCACTATAGGTAGAGATGACCAATGTTCCCTTGTCTTTTCCAGGTGGCCTGAGCAGTGGCTATGGTAATTACGGGGGTGGCTACAGCTCTTCCTACTCAAGCGGTGGATATTCCATAAATACATTGCCCATGGAGAGCTCGGCCGTCAGCAAGACCAAGGCTATTGTCATCAAGAAGATCGAGACCCGGGATGGAAAGCTGGTGTCTGAATCCTCCGACGTGCTGTCAAACTAGCGCGGTGGGGTCTTGAGCAATGGAACCACTAACGGTTTTAAAGTGCCTAAATCCAATGAGCCTTACCTAATTTAGCTAAGATGATGATGAGCCACAGATTAGAAGAGAGGGAAGAAATGCCTTTGTTCTCTCACCGAACTTTTTTTTTTGTTTTGGTTTTTTTCTAGAAGGAAGGATGTATGTTTGTCAGATACTCGTGGACTACAGCTCCCATCAGCCCTTTTCTGGCCATGCTAGATGAGGCTGGTGGAACTTGGGAGTCCAGCTGCAACTGGGAAGTCCACAGCTGCTTTTAGAACACCACAAAATCATTTGCCACCGACTTGCATTGAGACGTGATCCGGGAGAAAAAGCAAGGGGGCACTCGTGCCTCATTCCCTTTTTCTTAACACTTTGAGGGAAAAGAAACTTGCTTTCCCAAGGGACCTCGTGTTTTTTGACAGTATCCCATCAGTGGGTGCAGCTGTTGAAAAAAAAAAAGGCAGGAAAGCAGCTTTCCTAAGCTAGTTGTCAGCGAGAAGTCTTAACTCTTTTAGACCACTATATGTAGAGATGACCTATTCAGAATTGCTGTTTGTAGTTTTCACATTGTTTAAAAGCTGACCTGTTGTATTATTCACCCCTCTTGCTGTTTGCATATCATTAGGTCAAATTTTCAATCAAAACCAAGGCTTGGAAATGTTTTATTTTGAAGGATGGGGGATTTAGGGAAATCTCACCAGAGTCTTATCACCGGAGACAGCAACTCCTATCAAATGATCACACTAGCTATTCTAAAGATGATGGGAGTTTTGCGGTCCACCTGGACCAGGATGATAGGAAGACGTGGTTAGTGGGAGCCGAGCTGGACAGAAGCACGAAGCAAGCTAGTCTGTGAAGGTTTTTTAAGAACTTCACATGGTTTTCATTTTATTTGAAATAAAAAGGTTTTCTTCCAATCTTTGATATTAAATGGCTTAACTTTTCTGTCTGTGTTTTTGCTTTTCTTATGGGAAGGCCCAAGATAAAGGTTGAATGGAAAAGCAGGAGAAATCAACTCTTTTGTGTCTGCTAAAAAAGCATTCAGAGCTCTGAAAGCATGAATAGAGTGTTTGTAACGGGACTCATTTAGGAATTTGGGAAGGGTAGACAACTAGCCCCCCCTCAAAAGTTCTCTTAACTTGAAGGCTTCACTGGCCCACTGTGGTTGCTCCCTGTGCAAATGCTTATACGGTGCAGTTAAGATTGGTTCCTGAGGTTAACTAATGGAAATTAATCCTCAGTGACACAGAAATTTAAAAAGGTGCACATGGCTGGGTCATGTTCCCTTGGGGATGTCATACTGCTTGTGATTTTAAAGCATCGTTTCGCATGGACTATGAAACTTACATCTTTGGACTATGAAACTAGTATCTTATTCAGTGGTAATAGGGAAAAGCTAGTCCCTGAGGGACCACACACATATAGTGGTGCACTTTTTCTTTTCTGAGAAGCACGTTCTCCTAGTCACGTGGTACTTTATTGGAATACCCTCTCCCTGTTAGGGTACCAGTAAGATAAGTTAAAAGAGGCTTGAGTTGGGTTAAAGGCTACAACAAACTCCCACTTACTGGCAGAGGAAAATAGTAACTAAGGAGTTGGTGCTCTCTGAGCTTCTTGTAGAAGTTTCATTTTTAAATGAATGTTCTCTCCTGGCACATGGCCGCTCAGAAGACAAGTGTTAGCCTATCTTAACATTCCATGCACAGCCTAGGATTGACGAAACATTTTTTTCACACAAAAACCTTCCCTGCTTGGGCACATACATCTACAAGTTCTAAGCAAGGCCTACGAAGTGGAAATTATTTCTTGCGATGGAAAAGTGTAGCATGACCCCCAGAATAAGTTTTTAGCTCTCCAGAGCACCACAGTACTACAGGTAGTCTTCAACTTACGACAACGGAGCCCAAAATTTCTGTTCAGTGAAATATTAAGTGGGGTTTGCTCCATTTTACGATGTTTCTTGCCCCAATTGTTAAGTGAATCACTGCAATTGATTAGTAACCCGGTTAAGTGAATCTGGCTTCCCCATTGGCTTTGCTTGTGAGGAGGGGATCACATGACCTTGGGATACAGCAACGGTCATAAGTATGAACCAACTGCCAAGCATCTGAATTTTGATCATGATTGGAGGATGCTGCAGAGGTAACTGAAAAATGGTCATCAGTCAATTTTTCAGTGCCGTAACTTCGGTCACTAAATGAATTGTAAATTGAGAACTACCTGTATTCAAGTCTTAATTCGGGACAAGACTTATTAGCACTTAAGACGTATTTCCTTACGGTTTTTGAACAAAGCCCACTGATGGTTCAATCTGCCAAACTGAACCCAAATGATGTCATGAAGGCTCAATATATACTATATATGAACCCAAGTCAATGATTCTAGAATTTCCACTTTGCCACAAGGAGACTTGTGACTGGCACATCAGGCTGACTTCGGTAACCAGGATTAATGCACATTCATCCCCAAGGCTATGTAAGGACTAAAAATGCTGTGTTCAAGCTACTTAGGCATGTTCTGAAATAGCCAGTTTAAAGCTCTGCAGGAAGCATGTCATCTATTTACTGGAGTGAGTTCACACATCTGATGTAATAGAATGAATTAACTCAAGCTATGTAGTCTGATTTGGCCACTCATGCGTCTGATTTTTATTGGCCCTTCCCTTCCCTTTAGTTTTGTTATTTTGCTATTAGGTTGAGGCCTAAAATGTCTAGTCAGCACAAAATGTTGTGTTTTCATGCTTTTTCCACGAAAGCCTAAAATGGCAATGAAAGCAAAATACAGTAGATTTGCACAAGTCCATCCTTGAAGCTCTGACCAGGAATATTCCAAACCTGCTCTCAGTATTCTCATTCGAAAAAAGCCAAGATCAGTATTTTAAATCACTTTCACGGCTCACATTGCTTTCTGTCATTCTCTGCTCCTATTTATTACCCAGCTCTGCATTACAGTATTACAGCTTATTTTGCTGTTGTGTTTGATTCCACATGCAGCTGACTTGTTCCACGTTATGCAGCTTTTTTAAAATGGTTAAAAAAAAATTCATTTCAGTCTTTAACCCCCCCCACCCCCCCCAAAAAAACCAGCCTAAAAAATTAACCCCTGCACTCCCGTAATACCAGAACAGTACAAAATAAGGTTGAAAAATGTTGTCCAAAAAACCTGCCTCAACAGAAAAGTTAAGAAACGTATTTGAAAGGCCAAAATAAATACTTGCACAGCTACTATGTTTCACTTCCATACTACGTATTGATTGGGGAAACATAGCAAGAATGCCAAGGGACAGAACATTCTCAGGGCATCCTAAAATGGCTTCTGTCTTCTCTTTTTGCAAGACTGTCTTCATAACCATCCCCAAAAATGCTTCACCAAAACTCTCAGCTGTTTTCTTTTACGTGACTCCTGCTAACTGTTCACCATCAAAATTCTAACTCCGTTGGACAGAAATAAGCAATTTTAGATGCTATAGCTCGCACCCAACTGCATAGTGCTAACATTTACTAAGTAAGTAGACAAAGTAGAAAATAGGGAAGCATTTATTGCACATTGGACATTTTAAATTAAAACAGCAACCCCTGTCTCTGCTACCAAGAGGTGTCCCTCGCTTCCTCGTTCCTTCTTCTTTTAATTAAAGTGGCATTTGAAAAATAAACATCTCTAGCGGTTTCTGGAGATCAGTGCGAAGACCGTCGGCGAGTCCGGGCCGACACCGGGTGATGGCTTGGCTTCCTAATGTGGCAAAATCTTTGGCATTGTGGGAGCATCCAGCTTTCCCAGCTAAAGTCTCTGCCCCATGTCGTCCTCCACAGGAAGCAAACCGGGGAAGATGGGAAAGGAGAGAGAGAGAGAGCCCAGGATCCTCCATTCTGGCCCACGGAGGAGAAAGAGCTGGACTCCGGAGGTGATTGTGCTTTTTATTTTATTTTTTTCCTTTTGTTTTTGTTTTTTCCCTTCAGCCAAGCTGTGTCAATCTAAAGAAGACCCGGCAGCTTGAAAACTGTCCACGACGACAATCCCTTTCCCCCAGATGGACGGAACAGACAGCTTGACTCAAGGGGCCTGAAATCAGGCCAGCACCTGCCGCTCCAGCGGCTTCAAGTATTCCCTTGGGCTGGAAGCGAAATGCCTGCTGCAGCCCTCAGTTCAGGACACAAGTTGTTGTTGTTAGGATCCAAGCCTCAGGGGACGGGAATGGCTGGGAAAGGAGGGCGCTTCGTGTCAAGGTTGGAGCCTCTTTCACAGAGGGAAAGCAGAAGTGCTTGGCGCACCGAACCCTGCAGTCGTCCAAGCGGGCCCCATATCTGCGGCCCTGCCCTTCTCTAAGCCTTGCTGGTGTTGATTGGAATCCTTCCTCCTCCCCAGTGCTCTTGATGGGGCGATCCGAGTGCCTCTTCGCAGGGCGGCAGCAGCAGCAACACACATACACAGAGGGCGACGTGGACCTGCTAGGCCTCTGAAGCGGCTTGTGGTTTCAGCTGAGCTTTCTCCATGGCTGTGCCGTAAGGAAGGGAACGTTTGAAAAAGCCCAGCTAAAAAAGAAAGAAAGGAAGGAAGAGAAAGGTCAACATCTATACAGGACCATCACCCACCAAATTCTTTTTCAGGGCAAGTTCCATTGCGGTAGAGTGGTCTCAGGGGTGGTATGCTACCTCTTCAGACCGGTTCAGCTGAACCGGTAGTAAAAAAAAAAAAAAGCCTCCAAGGATCAGCTGAGAGGAGGCAAAAAGGCTGAGAGGGGAAAGAAGAGAAAAGCCAAGAATCGGCCCTCCTACCCGCTCCTACGCTTTTCTCTTCTTTACCCTCTCAGCTGATTGGCGCTGCAGGCCACAGCTGGTGTGGGCCAAGCTGCGCGCGTGCATTAGGCCAAGCGCGCCCACCAAGCCATGCCCGCCGAACTGGTGGTCAAACAATTTGAATCCCACCACTGAGTGGTCTTGTGGAAACACATTTGATTCCTGCTTAAGACCACTGTAATGAAATCCGTGCAGAAATACCTCTAGATTTTTATCTAAAAAGAAGAGATAGTTTTTCCTCTCTTCGTCTTTCTTGAGTTATCTCCTGACATAAACGTATTGCCGTTATTTTTTGAGTGCCTTTGAATCCTTCTTGATTTCTAGAGGTTGACTTAACAAGTCCCTGAATATTTTTTTTTTTAAACAGCATGTTTGGAAGGGGTTTGTCACTACCCTCTTGCTAGGGCTAAGAGAGGATTGACTGACCCAAGGTCGCCCAGCTAGACTAGGATTTCCAGTTTTTACATTTCTAGCCTGATGCCTTAAACCACCATACCAAACCTGGGTCTCAACGTTGATTAATGCCACAAAATTAAGTTTGTAGTTCTCTAAACTTACGAGGATTGGAACACTAACAATTAAAAACTCTTGGCTCAATTACATATTTATGTGCATCACACCCCACCTGCAGAGCTACGGCTGAATATTGGAAACCGTCTCTCTTAAATACACTCAATGCTGATTCAAGGCACTTTCATGACTGTGTACAGACTGCAGAATGCTAAAAATGTAATTATATGTGCTTTGGGGTTGCAATTCTCCATTGCAGGCCAAGCTGTACCACTTGTCAAATCCCAGGGAAATGACTCAGAGTCAATTCACTAGGGTAGGGCTAGAAAAATCACAGGTGTCGGAAAAGATTCAGGTGCTGTCCGGGGTGCTGAAGACACTCCCCCATTGACACCTCTTAATATTTCTATACAGTACCACAGCTTTTAACTGGCTTCTGAGATTTCAGAATCTCCCTACCTACTCAAATTTCCTTACATCTGCAGTCCTTACACATCAAGTAACACCCAGTACTTCAGAGCTTTAAAATTTTCTCTCCAACCTTGAATTCCTTCTATTATTAGATTGTTCCGTGAACTCACCTTGTACAACACATAGATGAGCAGTGCCAACAGCAGCAGTCCAATCAGGATGGCTAAGATGATGATCCATAGAGGAACACCCTGGCTAGTCTCTGGCTTAGCCCAATGGAGTAATGTTGACATCTGTCACCAGAAAGGAAACATGAATAAGAGATGTCCAAAAGTTGTAATTGAAGGTGTTACATTGGTAGCATCTAAGCCCCGTTGGATCAGCATATGCTATATAGTCATTCTTCAAAATGCTAGAGGACCTGTACATAAGATGAACAATTTTACCTTATGTAGTATGAGTAAATGAGTAAATAAGTATCTGAGAGCGTGACTTCTTATTATGGAGAAAACAGGAGAAGGGAACACTACGTACATTGCCTTGAGCTGTGCAAAAGCAAAGATGGGATATACTGTAAATCAAATATATAAGAATAAACTCCCCTTTACAACCCTGTAATCCATTAATTAGGGGTAGAGTTGGGGAAACTGAATGGAGCTAAGCGTTTACTGGCCAAATGCCCTTCCTGATGCCATGTGGAGTTCTCAGTAGATATTTTTGTTTTGCCCCCTAGGAGAGAAACATCTGCCACTACCTAGGATTGAACTCTCAACCCTCCAAATGGGATGTAAGAGTCTTCATCACTAGGCTACTATGCTGCTCTAATAAATAAGCAAGAATAAAACATCCCAAATCCACCAGGGTGCCAGGTACATCATTCTGATAAATTTTCAAAATAGGCCATTGGAAAGAGTTAACCTTTAGTTAACCTAGGGTTCACATCATTCAGCCTCACTAGGCAATCTAATACCTGAATTATAAGAGGAAAAATGACTTATCCTACTCTACTTTTTGCCTTCTTACCATAACTTACATCTCTCCACTTTTCAAGACTATATCCAATCTATTCAGAGCTAAGAGCTACCTGCTTCTCGGAGTTGAGCCGATCCCAATCACACTCTCCGTTGTTGCAAACTGTCTCGTAATTTTACTAATATAATTGGAACTATCATCTTGGAAGAACTGGCATTCATAAGGGCAGATTATTCCCAGTGAGACTGATAATACTGACCTTCAGATGAGTGGGTTGCTCTAGAGGCTGGATTTTGTAGGGCACCTTTTGCATATGGTAAACTGCTTCACACTGGATAGTCTGGGGATAGTTCTCCTTCTGCAAGGGAGGAAAGAATAATGAGAAATGGCTCTGCACAAATGTTGGGTTGAATAGATGTACTGGAAGTGGAAGAGCCTTAATATGGAGGAATCAAGCATCCCATTCCCAAAGGTTTAATACTGTGAAAGCTAACATACTAAATGAATGGGAAGGAGCAGGCCATTATTTTTCTGCTGAGATTAATTATTACATTTTCTGTAAGTACTGTATGTACATAGATCAGAGGTGGGCAACTGTGATCTTTTAGCCTGATGTATGCTATTCCCTCAACTTTCATTCATTTCTATGCCAGCTACTTACAACCAAGAGTAACAGAAAAGGAAGGTGGAAAAAAAAAGACACACACACAAAATTCGTCCCAAACAATTGAAGTCTGGTGAACACCAAAAATATATTGGGTTTACCTGTTGAAAACTTTTGGACGAGATGCGAAAATAGAAGTGTAAGCTGACACTTTCCTGTCGTTGCAATGCTCCCATGCGGCAGTGAAGTTGGAAACATTCATCCTCATGACACTTCTGCAGTGCAAGAACATTGAATGATCAAATGAGACATCAGATGAAAATATCTCATCAACCTGGAATTACCTCCAAGGCAGAATTTGGGCCAAGCATCTTTGTGAACCTGAATGTCTGGCCTTATTTGACCTAAGTAGCTCCTTGTTGGTTGGATTATATCTCAGAATTCCCAGACAATGCAACAAATAAGAATTAGAGTCTAAGATTTTGAGGACGACAGATTGGGGAAGGCTGTTCCAGTGATTAAAACCAAGGGAATGTGAGTCAGGACATTAGACCTAAGTTCTGTGTATTATGGATGCATCTTAATTTCGAAGACTATGGCAAACAAAGGAGAATTAGATTTGAAAATAAGCTACTGAAAGGCATGTAGTGCTGCTTTTTGAAAACCATCTTCCACATGCATTTATTTATTTAAATGTATTGGCCACACAACTCCCATGGACTCTGGGGGCCAACGTTAACAAGAACAATGAGCAAACATTGTGGTGTAAGGAAATCAACAGTGCATCTCTTGTTTCTTAAAATGGTGGCGCAGGGCTTACCAGAGGGAAAGTGCTTCCAATGTTGCCTGTGTTCCATCCTCCATCTTGCTTCTGCACATAATGCTGTTCCTGCCCAGGAAAAGGTGTTGGAGGTTGCTCCAGCTAAACACCCAGATAGAGATAGAGATGATAAAGAGATAGAGATAGATAGATAGTGAGAGACATAGAGATAGCGAGAGAGAGATAACACAAATGTGAATCTTCATAAATTCTCTGTAGCTACCAGTTGTAATCTGGTTGATTAGGTAAAATACAGTTCTCCATGGTCTATTAAACAGGGGTCTTCCTTATGATCTGATTACTTTAGCTCAGGGTATCAAAGAGGTATCAAGGTTTCAAAGGTATCTTAACACAGCTGCCAGTCGGAAAAGGCCCTTCTTTTGAATGCCAGTGTTGCTCTGGCTGACTCAAAGGAACAGTGTTCTTGTGTGACACACGCTTCTCAATGGAAGAAAATCCTCCCTCGTTGTTACAACTCAATCTCAGGCTTGTGCATATTCTAATGCAGAGCAAAGGCTCTGTGGAAACAAGCTACTTGTTGAAATGTTTATGAAAAAAAAAACCTGCATGCAAAAAACACCCAAGCAGGTTAACCAAAAGGGGGAAGATTTGGGATGGAACAACACACAACATCTCCCTTGCTGAGAAAAGAATGGCAAGTTATTAAAGCAATTAAATCACTTATAGCCAAATTTGGAAAATGGGCTGTCTTCTGCAATTTATTACTCCTCCCTTCATTTTGATTTTCTAAGCCATCTTGGCTTAGTTGCAGGGGCTGAACTGCAGTCTCAACGTTTAGTGGCCAGGCCAAGTCACTTCATCCTTTGTATTCCCCCACCCACAGAGGTCCCCTTTTACCTGCAGATGTAATGGATTAATGGGGCTGTTGGAGGTACAATTTGCCCGCACCATGTAGTGGGTGACGTACAGTACAGCTCGTCCTTGCACTTGGAGAGGACAACTGAGGTCTAACACTCCTTCACTGATGGCGCTGGGCCCATCATTGACAAACTACATAAAATAAAAGAAAAGAAACAGGGGGAATTATCCAAGGAACCAAGAAACTGCTTCATCCTAAATAAGGCTACTCATTTACTTTGTCCTTCAAGGCTGAGATGCAGAGAAGCCAATCACCTGCAGAATGACCTAGCAAACCAGCGTAAAACTTGGGACTTGCTGAGATTCAGCTGAGCTACAAGACCTCCCACGATTCAACCTGTAGCCATTTCATAAAGGTATCTTGATCAGCAAGCCCAGGGGTCTTCAAACCTGACAGTTTAAGACTAGTGGACTTCAACTCCCATAATTCCTCCTCCAGTCATGTTAGCTCAGGAATTCTGGGAGTTGAAGTCCACAAGTCTTAAACTTGGCAAATTAAGACCCTTGAGCAAGCCAATAAAGAATTGTGCCATAACAATGCTCAGTAAATCAGCCATGTTTCCATTGCTAGCCAAACATTTATTTGTAGAAAGATCCCAGATATGAAAAAGTAACGTCTATGTAACCTTATACAGAAGTATATATAACCTTATAAAGCTCAACATTCACAGCAATATCAACCTATGCAGGTTTATTGCTGTGAATGTTGAGCTTTAATTTGGCTTGTGTTAATCTAGATCTGCCTCCTTATTGTTAAGTGTCTTTCAGAGGTATAGGGTTGACTTACATCAGGCCTGTCAAACAGAGTATGACTTACATCAGGCCTGTCAAACTCTGGTGGCCTATGGGCGGGATGTGTTACGTACAGGCCACGCCCACCCCAGCTCCGCAAAGGCAAAAAGTGTCACAATCGAGTTTGACACCTGTGACTTACATTCATGTTCCTTAAGAATTTTGAATGCTGAGGTGGGTTCATTTGGAGGCTACCACTTGAAAAAGACTGGTACAGAACAGAAGGACCTTTCAGGAGTTGAATTGGATCCCAGAAAAAAAAAAAAGCTCTCCCAAGGACTTTTGGCCCATTGGCAACTTCCAGCTATTCCATCAGCGTCTTCTGCTCAGCAGGAAATACCCACCTCATAGACATGGCAGACCCCAGGGCCGATATCTTGTTCACGCTTCACCAATCTACCTGGGACCCAACCAGGCAGAGATACAGAGTCTGGCCTGGATGCTCTGTGGAAGAGGTAGAAAAAAGCATTTCAGACACACTCAAATGATTCACTAGGGACTAGAGCAATTTAAATAATACAAACCATTTCTCAAGGATGAGAACAAACCATTTGTCAAGGCAAATGAGGCAAAATTAAAGCAAAATCAGAACAACAGTAATCAAGTCATAACGTCACATGAAGATCATTGTGACGTCTGCTAATGTAGAAATGCCCTTTACTGGGATGTATAAGTATGGGAATCAGATCGTGTGTATGTTCCTCTGGCTAAAATTCAAAATTGAACTCCTCCTAGTGTATTTCTTTTCACTGAGAATCAAATTGCAAAACTAATAGTTGGCAACAGTATGATTTGCTTGTTTGATATTTTCATCCCATTTTTCTATAATAGGCCCAAAGGCCATGGATTTAATCCACAATTAAGCAATGGAATGGTAATTATTATTTTGATGTGTGCTTTATTTATGTAGTAAAGCAGAACGGAGAGTGAATAAAACAATAAAAATGCAACAAGAATAAATGCATTAAAATATATTTTTGCTATTTCTGAAGGTTATTATAGTATGTTCTGGGGAGGAAAATGACACATATATTAAATTGACTTTGAAATGAACTTTAAAATTTTTAGATGCTCATATTCCTATGAACCACATACTTATTACATGGTAATTGACAGCTGAAATATGCAAATAGTTTTTCTGCATCCTTCTTGCTGCTAAGAGACTAATACTTTAACTCTGAAAAAACTAATTTATGCCTTCAATTACTGAGTGAATTGAACACGGGTGTTACCTGAAACTCATGAACTTTGCTTATAGTCACAAATATCATGAAATATTAACTGTTCCAGAGGTAGTATTCAGCAGGTTCTGACCAGTTCTGGAGAACCGGTAGCGGAAATTCTGAGTAGTTCAGAATACCATCTCTGACTGGCCCCGCCCCCATCTCTTCTCTGCCTTCTGGGTCCCAGCTGATTGGCTGGGTCTTCTTTTATCTCCTTGCACAGGAGAACGGAGCTGGAAAGCAGGTTAGTGGGGTGGGGAGGGAATGGGATTTTGCAGCAATCTTCTCCCAGGAGTGGGGTGGGAACGGAGATTTTACAGTATCCTTCCCCTGCCACACCCACCAAGCCACGCCCACAGAACAGGTAGTAAAACGGTTTGAATCCCACCACTGAACTGTTATATAAAACTTCTCTCTCTCTCTCTCTCTCTCTTTCTCTCTCTCTCTCTCTCTCTCTCTCTCACACACACACACACACACACACACACGATTTCTTGTTTGCTGTGGTTTCTTCTTTTTGTTATTTTTCTATTTTTTCTTTGCTCTGTATTATCAAATAGCCTGCAAAAATTATAATGATACAACGAGCTGACAAACAATCAGGAATCTACTTCCGCTTTGTATGAAACTTTATTTTCGTTACTAAACTAATCCTTGAATACAGGGCTGAAACTTGAAACATTATGGAGGAAAATAATTATTAAAAATCAGTAATAAAAATAGTTTCCTTCCCCTGCTTAATAAAAAATATTTAAAAATGGCCCTGGCTCTACTCCTTTTAGACCATGGCTGCTAGCATGCTATTCAAAGTCCACAACAGCCCCATAATCAACAAAAAAATTGCACCTCTGTTTTAATATGTCACATTCCGATAGTTATAAATAAAAGCATAGTCAGCCTTCCTCATTGAGCCTGCTACCTGGGTTTTCTTGATAGTCTTCCATTCAAGTATCTGCTAGAAGCAGACCTCCCGAGATGTTTTTTGAGGCTAGTCAAGGTTGAGTGTCACACGCTGTGCATTTATGAAATTCTTTTAGCCCATGATAAAACTCAAAGTGGTATAAATTAGATTACTTAATGTCTTTTATTCTACTCTTGAATGTAATTGGTGAATTATAGGTCTTAAGACCATGGCCTGCAAATGGCCTGCTCTACTCAACATTTGGTCTCTTCCACCTTCTCCGAGGAATCAACCATCCTTCAATCAAGAATAGAATGAGAAAAAAATCTGTACTCGTTCAAACTACCTCAGATTATGAGGTGGCACAGTCAGTGGTTAGAGTGCAGTCCTGCAGGCTACTTCTGCTGACTACCGGCTGCTTGCAATTTGGCAGTTTGAATCTCACCAGGCTCAAGATTGACTCAGCCTTCCATCCTTCTGAGGTAGGTAAAATGAGGACCCAAACTATTGGGGGCCATATGCTGTAATCTGCTCAGAGAGGGCTGTAAAGCACAGTAAAGCAGGATATAAATCTAAGGGCTATGGCTATTATAACCCCTGAATTGATTTTTCCCCCTATTAATGTTCTACCACTTGGTAATTTAAGAGGAGTTAATTCAAAACAGTTTTATAATTTCAACAGAAAATGTCTAGGAAGCCTTGGTTCAGAGGGAAGGTGAGTGCTTAGTTGTGGAGATAAGGTAAGCTCTGCATGAAGAACCTCAAAAATTTAATCCTTGGCATTGTAAGAAGCCAACGTCGCGGGAAGTGTACCAGCAGATCTTGGAGATCGACTGCCAGAAGCTCTCCCCACCTGAAGCCTGTGAAACAGGCAGGCTTCTTGGGGAGATGAGTAGAAAGACACGTGCAACAGTCGGACTGTCAGAAGCAGGTTTTAGAAAGGAGGAGACAGGATCTTCCTAAAAGCTCAGAATTGCCTCTAAGGCATGACAGGTGGCGAACAAGTCTGATAAAATAAATAAATAAATGAGAAATAGAGTCCTCACGGCTATAGGCTGGAGCTTCCTCATTCCTGGTTTAAACGTTTTTCTTTTTGAAATTCCATCATGCGCACATGTCTTCTATGATTAAGCAGCCTTCCATTTCAATTGCTACAATTAGATGAGGTATTATTCTACTTCAGCAAAAGCTACTAGCCTGCCTAGGAGCTGGTGCAATTGCTAATTAAGAGGCATTTTATTTTTTTTAGGAAACTGGGGGGGAATATAGAAAGGTGCACTGTTGAATTCATGAGGACTCCTGGGAAAAGAAAGCTGGCCTAAACTTTTGACCAATGGTTTCAAGTGTTGACTTGCAACTTGGAATATAACAGACCCTACAATTTTTGTTCAAGAGAATGCTAACTAATCCAGACCATTTGTTAATCACCATAATCAAATGGACTGTTTTTTCTCAAAGCACCTGAATTAAAAGCTGATTCATACATTCCAGCATGGGACATAAAATCATGTGGGAAATTATATTGTCTCTCCAAGGTGTATATTCCTTGAATATCAGCTAGCCGAGGTTTAGGTAAAATGTTTAGTTCAATTATTTGTTTTTGTTTTTTCCTGAAGGAGATAATCCTGGATGACTACATTAAAGGTTTCAGAAGAAAAACAGTTCCCTTGAGGTAAAAATACTAGCTGCTACTACATTGGAGAGCATTTCCCAGAGATACTTATATTCAGGGGTGGGCTTCTCTGCCCGGTTGCTGGGTGGGCGTGGCCATGGTGGGTGTGGCCTAGTCGGCCTCCTGCACCACGAGGGGTGGTGGTGGTTTGCCTTCCCCAGGCTCCAGATACTTTCCTCGAGTCTCCGGGAGGGCAAAAACGGCCTCACCTGGGCTGCGGAGGCCCTCCAGAGGCCAGAAATGGACCAGTTTCCAGACTTCCAGAACTTCCGGGAGACCCATTTCACCCACACCAGCCCTGCACTTACCTGCATCCAAAATGGACCACATGGACACTCCTGGGAGGGGATGGGTGGGTGAGTGGGCGGGGCCAGCCAGGGGTGGGATTTGGCGGTTCGCCGAACCAGCCATAACATTAGCAACAGGTCCGCCCATACCCAGGGCGAACCCGTAGTAGCCCACCCGTTTATATTTTCATAAGAAAACGTCCATGCAACTAGCGTTCCACTGGTGTCATATAAGAAAGTAGGTGCAAATTCCAGACTGAACTCATTCAATCAGCACAGCGAACATTGATATGTGGACCACACATCCTTGGCTAAGGGGATTGTCAAGTTGACTGGCTCTACAGCACTTTAAAATATTGCAAGATGGTTGTGTTTCCTTCTGATTTACCAGTTGTCCAATCAACTCAGCTTCGTGTCCTCCATGTTGGATATCAACACTGTTTCCCATTTGATCTATCCAATAGAAACATGGAATACTTGGTTGCACGAAGCAGAGTCAAGTATGCATGTATTTGAATCCAAGGAATAAATTTAGCAGTGAGGGATTAGAGAGAGTTGCCTTCTAAAAGCAAACCAGGTCTTCCTTGAACGGAGAACAAAGAAAGAGAAAGAGGGTGAAGATCTAAGAAAGACCATTTCTCAAGAAGGGAACTTTTCAGGAAAACAGTGTAACTTCTCTAATGATGCACATACCAAAAAAGCAATATTGCCTTTGCTGATGAATTGAAAACTATAAATTGACTGGGAGAAAACCAGACCCAATTATTGAATCTATGACCTCAACATTTTGGTTGTCTCTCTTTCTCTTTAGCTCTACTTTGGTGATATTTTTTTTTCTTTACAGGTACTCCTCCACTTACAACTGTTCCTTTAGTGACCGAAGTTACAACGGCACTGAAAAAAGTGACTTATGACCATTTTTCACACTTGTGCAGCCTCGCCAGGTTCATCGGATTTACACTCAGATGTTTGACAAATGATTCATATTTATGACGGTTGCAGGGTCTCACGATCATGTGATTCCCTTTGGTGACCTGACAGGTGAAGTCAATGGGACGGCCAGATTCCCTTAACAACGGTGTTACTGATTTAGCAACTGCAGTGATTCCCTTAACAGATGTGGCAAGAAATGGGGCAAAACTCTCCAATCAACCCAATTTCTCACTTAGTGACCTAAACTTTGGGTTCAATTGTAGCCGCAAGTTGAAGACCACCTGTATTTTTTTCCTCACTGTTTAACTGATCATCCCACCAATGCATGTGGCAAAACACACAGTAAGGAAACAGCCACGTTCTTGGTGTCAGGGAAGTAGGAAGACTTTTACTGAAAATAGTTGGGAGGGAGGAGGATGAACTGATGAAGGGATGAAGCAGCAGGTGGGTTCCTGGCCTGGCAGCTGGCACAGCCTTCAGAGCTAAAATGATCTGCCAACACATGGCTCCCTTTCTTTGTTATTAAATAAGGTGTGATTTGCCCTCGCCCGTTTATGATTAACCTGCATGCCTTCCAGGCAACAACAGACCTTGGACATTCTTTTAACAATTAAAAATAATTACTCCTGGAGTGATAACTTACCCATGGGATGAAATGTGAAAGGCAGCCTCGACGCGCAGGACGAAAGATTCTACTTCGCTGTGAGAATTGTTGGCATTCTTGCTGCGAAAAACAGATATGGCTATGTGGAACTAGTGAAGCGGGTAGGCCAGGGGTGTCAAACTCAAGGCCCGAGGGCCGGATCTGGCCTGTGGGTGCTTAGATCTGGCCTGTGTGGGGCCATCCTGGAAACAGCAAAGGACCCGCCCATGGTGCTTCTGCCAGGGAAAACGGAGCTCAGGAGGGCTATGAGCGGCCCTCCCGAGCTCCGTTTCCATTGGCAGAGCGCTCTGGCCATCACAGGCGGCCTTGACACGAGTGACGTGGAGCTGGCCACGTCCACCCTGCCCATATCCATCCTGGCCCCGGAGGTCAAACACAACCGTGATCCGGCCCTCAATGAAACTGAGTTTGACCCCCCACCCCCCCGATGTAGGCTAAAAGCAATGTGCAGGAAAGAAAGAGCCTAGGACTCCCAAGGAGAGCCAGACTTGTCCATGAGCTCAATCAAGGTGAAGGGAACGGAGAGGTGTGTGTGGGGGGGGGAGCGCACTGGCGGATCATCCAGGGTGTTTTTACCTGTGAATCTGGAAATCAAACTGGATGGATGGCTTAGCGTCGGTGACACGAGGCACGGTAAAGCGCAGGCCACCCCAGAGCTAAGAGGATAAGACCAAAAAAGAGGGCATTAGAATCAAGGTCTTTATTCAGATCTCTTCTATCTGGGATTGCGCAAGTTGGTTTACTTTGATCTTGGCTGTTTTCTTGCAGACGCTGTTTTGGCCTGTGGGCTGTTTTGGCCTGTAACGATTGCATGTTGACTGTACTAAAGCCAACACTTTAGTACAGAGCGGAGGTGGGTATTCAGCAGGTTCTGACCAGTCCTGGAGAACCGGTTAGCGGAAATTTTGAGTAGTTCAGAGGACCAGCAAATACCCACTCTGACTGGAGATTTTACAGCATCCTTCCCCTGCCAAGCCCACCAAGCCACGCCCACAGAACCGGTAGTATAAAATTTGAATCCCACCACTGATACAGAGGTCCCCAACCCCCTGGGCTTGGGATGGTGCTAGTCTTTGGCCTCTTATGAACTGGGCTACACAGCCGAAGGTGAGTGACGGGCGAGCCAGCGAAGCTTCGTCTGTATTTGCAACCGCTCCACAACGCTTAGCATCACTGTCTCAGCTCCACCCTCAGATCATTCAGGCATTAGGTTCTCATAGGAGGGTGAACCCTATTATAAACTGCTCCCGGAAGGGGTCTAGGTAGTGTGTTCCTCCCTCCTCCCCCCCCACACCTCCCAGTCTGTGGAAAAACTGTCTTCCATGAAACTGCAAAGGTGGGGGCCCGCTGCCTTGGTACACAGAACCAACACTCACGCTGACACCTGCTTTCATCGGATTGCCCAGGTCACAGATAACCATATTTGTGTCGTTCACGGTGTCATAGCGGCAGCTCTGGCTGGAAATGTTCTACAGGAAAAGACCAAGAAAAAGTGCGTTTAGACCACGGGTGTAAAACTCGCCATGTCACGTTGCCGTCACGTGATGTTTCCCCCCCCCTTCGTGGAGCTGGTGTAGGTGTGGCCTGCGTATCGTGCATCTGGCCCACCAGTTTGACACCCTTGATTTAGACAAATCCGTGAAGGATACTAATCGTATGTTATCATCCAAGTTAAAGGTAATAAGATTTGGAGACCAACGGCTAAAGAGCAAAGAGGCCTGCGTGCTCCCACTCTCTTGTCTGACTTGTCAGAATTCTCACCGTTAGGGTAGAAACCTTAACAAACTTTTTACGGGAGCTTCAATCCATTTCATCCGCTACAGTTTGTACATGAAAAAAAAATGGTTCGAAACCATTAAAAACGGTTCTGCTGAAATATTTATGACCCTGTGTACATAAAACCAATAGCTCTCAGCTTAGCGAAAGCATTCCTTTCTGCTACACGAAAGAGTTTTTATTGACTTAACCATTAGGTTTCTATGTTTTTGCGCAATTTCATTCCTAAAAAGGGTTTTCTAAGATGGTGTTTACTACCCAAATTGAATCGATTCTTCCATTTTAAAAGATGTAGAGGTTTTTTGTTTTTTTAGAAAAAGGGGGAGGGCTGTGATCAATACGGGGCAGCCAAAAATGCATTTAAACAACAACAACAAAAAAATAGAATAAAGAATAAGGTAAGTACTGTAGCCTTTTCATTCTTGTCATTCCCAGACGATTCTGGGATGGTGGGCAAGAAGCACGAACATCTGCTCAATCTAGGTGGTCCTTGAGATACAACAATTCATTTGGTGACTATTCGAAGTTACAGCAACACTGAAAAAAGTTTTTCACACTTGCGACCATTGCACCATTCACTTGTTCAAAATTTGGACGCTTGGCAACTGACTCATATTTATGACGGTTGCAGTGTCCCAGAATCATGGGATCTCCTTTTGTGACCTTCTGACAAGCAATGTCAATGGGGAAGCCTGATTCACTTAACAACCGGGTTACTAACTTAACAGCTGCAGGGATTCATTTAACAGCCCTGGTAGGAAAAGCTGCAAAATGAGACAACAATCACTTAACAACTGTCTCACACAGCCACAGAAATTCTGGGCTCCATCGTGGTCGTAAGTCGAGGACTGTACGTACTGATTGGCAACTGAAATGGAATCCACTTTATGACAGCTTGAATTTTTGAAAATAATGAGTCATGTGGTACTTTCAGCTGGCATATTTATTATGGCTCAAGCTGCTGAGGATGAATTGAATGTGTTGTGGTTTTTTTTTTGAGAAAACAACAACAACAACAACCAACCACTGTTAGATTTTTGTTGCTTTAGAAATCAGAAATATGGACCTGCTGGAATTCACAGCATCACCATCTTTTAACGGCCCCATAATCCCTTGCGGGGTGGGGTCTGGGCAATTGAATGGAGCAAGCAGAGTGTTTTAATGGCCGGATGCCCTTCCTGTCACCACTGTGGAGTTTTGTGCAGCAGATATATTCTCAGTGTGCCCAGAGAGAGAAATATCTGCCTCTGCCTAGGATCAAAATCACAGCCTCCTGATTGTGAGGTTTAGAGCTCCACCTCTGGGCCAACGGACCACTGGAATTCACAACAAATCCCCACAACTCACCAACTTTTACACTTTCCTCAAAGAACAGAAGATGAAAATCCCAGGACTTCTCTATTTGAAGGACAGTCCCCATACTGTAGTCATGCTCTATTTTGACAACTAATGGATGGAACAGCATTGGATTTTTGAGGGAGAAGGTTTGTTATGGAGCACCTACCCCGTAGTTGCGTTGAACTCCTATATAATCTGCCTCCGGTGGGATTGTCACGTGGAGTTCAGCTTCATAGGCACCACCTTCTCCACGATTCATTGCATGGAATGAAAGGTTCACTGTGTTCTTGTCTCCCAGATAGGCAACAGTATGGTCCCTGCAAAGGGTGAAATCCAAAAATGAATGAGATTGGCAAACCATACAGAGGTGCGGTAAGTTAAAACACTCTCTGTGGTGCAGTGCATCAAAACAAAATGAAACCTGAAAACAAGGAGAGCACAGATCGAAGGCGGCAAAGCTCATTATTCAGGCACCCTCCAAAGAATTCAGAGAAAGTTGCACTTTTCTATCTCTTTCAGATGACCCTAGTCATCTAAATCTTCAGACGTACAATTTAAATCAGTCTGAACTCCATACCCTTCTCCACAACCTTGGTAGGAAGTTGTTTTACATAACCAATGAACCAATAAAGGCTGGAAAGTTTCAAGTACTTTTTTCCTCCCTTGTAACATATGAAAATGTTAGTTCTTCTCAAGCGTGTAAAACCTGGGCTCATTCCTAGGTTTTACACCCCTTAATCAAATCACTGTGCTTGGTGCTCATGTCAGATAAAGATTCTGTTGTACAGAGAAAGGCTTGTGATTTTGTTCTGTACTGACAATTATTATAAGGCATAAACCCGATGGGGGAAAAAAAAACCCACAACAAACATTGGAAGTCTCCATTTTTATCACAAGCATATTGCAAATAGAGCTACGTTGGCATTTAGAAGGTGTTTAAACTGTGTTTCTCTTGTCAACTGCCTACATGAGCATTCCCAATTTGGTCCCCTCCAGCTGTGGGCTGGACTAGAAGTAGGGCAATTTCATTTCATTTCCAACTACATTTAATTCAAATTAAATACACTTAACACATCGACTCTTGCTAATATTAAAATTGCAGCACAGTCATTGTTTTTGATAACTCTAGGACTGCACTCAAGAAAGAGTCAGATAGTACAGCTAAAATTTTAGTTCATTCTTGTCCACGTTGATCAGAAAAGGTTTTCTGACATTTCTTTCTCAGCCAAGTATTAAAACGAGACTGTTTGGCATGCAAAGCATGCATTCTGCAACTGCATTATTTCCACTTTTGACTGGTGTAGAGATTCAGATAGGAAGTGTCTGTTGGGCAATGGCATGTAGTATTCCCTGAACAAAGATTTAACATCTTTCTTTTCCACGCAATTGCTTTGCAGAGCACATTCATTTCATATTTACTTGTAGACGTAGTCTTCGACTTACGAACCACAATTGAGCCCAAAATTTATGTTGCTAAGTGAGACATTTGTTAAGTGAGTTTTGCCCCATTTTACGACTTTCATAGCCTTGGTTGTTCAGTGAATCACTGCAGTTGTTATGTTGGTAACATGGTGGTTAAGTGAATCTGGTTTCCCCATTGACTTTGCTTGTCAGAAGATCGCAAAAGGGGATCACATGACCTCCTGGGACACTTCAACCGTCGTAAGTATGAGTCAGTTGCCAAGCATCCGAATGTAAACCACATAACCGTGGAGACGTTGCAACAGTTGTTAAGTGTGAAAAATGCTCATAAGTCACTTTTTTCAGTGCCGTTGTACCTTTGAGTGATCACTAAAAGTAAAATGTTGTAAGGTGTGGACTACCTGCTTTGATAACGATATGCTAGCAGGGGTCGCCAATCTTTTGGACCTCAGGGACCACCAAACTCATAATTTTAAATCCCAGGGGCCACTAATATGAATTTTGACTGACAGTGGCTTGCTGACGTTGGTGGGAACGTCGGTCTCATATTCCAGAGCTGCACTAGTCACAGGACTGGCCCTTTGGTCATCCCGGAGCAGCTGCTCCTCCACCTGGGTGCACCAGCCTGCCATGGACTGGAGGAGCTATTCTGGGATAACCAAAGGGCCAGTCTTGTGACTACTGCAGCTCTGGAATATGGAACCAATTTTCCCACCAATGTCAGCAAGCGACCCCGGGGCGGATTTCCCTCCCATGCCGTTGGTCTTACCTTCCAGTTCCAACTCACATGGCTCTACTCAAGGTAAGGTTTGTGGTTGGCCGAAGGGTGGAGGCCAGCGGGTGGGCGGGCCATGTGGGCGGCGCAGCCTTGTGTTCCCATGCGGCGTGGATTGAGGGCGGGGGGGGGGGGTGCTTGGGGGGTGGGGGGGACATTTCTCTGAGGACCACCAAAATTGTCTCATGGACCACCAGTGGTCCCCGGCCCACCAGTGGTCCCCGGCCCACCAGTTGCAACTACTGTGCTAGCTGACAATGTAAGAAAGTGACTTGATTCCTCAACATGTTGATGTGCATGTCTGTTTTGTGTTACAAGCAACAAAAGATGCGAAACCTTTAAAAGAGCCCATGAGTGGATCTGCTGATAATGAAAGAGCAAAAACGATTGCACTCAGAAGGAATTGCAAGGCTACATATTCCAGTTGGAAATCTTGCATGCCTGCATTTCCATCTCATGACAGAAAGGGATACCAAATTGTCAACATTTAAGAAAAGGACAATACAGATTCACAGGTCCCCAGGACTAAAAGCACGCTGAATTTTTGCATGCAAGTTGCATTTCAAGCTTAAGATGGGCTGTTCTGGGCTTACCAGAAGTGGTTTCCAATACTATTCTGGTCGCTCCAGATGTATTCTGGAAGATGTTAATCACACTCCTACTAAAAAGGTAGAATTGACTCACCAATGAGCAGATATTGGAAAATAACATTAATAAATGGGACACGGACCATTTCCATCGCTTGACTTCTCCAAAGCCAAGAGTGGTGCTCAAAATGCATAAGAGGATGCAAAATATTAGATATAGGAAAGAGGAGAGTCTATTTGGATTTCTTCAGATCAAGAAAATAGAAGTAGTATGCAGCTGTCCCACCTTCATCCTTGTTTGTGGCACAGCAGGAAAATGACATGGCAGAGACTTACCCAAAGACATCAAGTTGCAGGTCAGGGACACAGACATTGTCCTCTCCGCAGTCCAGCTGAATTTGGGCCTGGGAAAGAATTCCAGCTATGAGTCAGATGAGACTCTATATGTTCACATGTGTTAAAAGTGCTGTACTGAATTATGTCTTTCTTTCATGAATTAGTCTAAGAATCCCAGAGAGGTAACACCATGGAAAAGGTATGTAGGGATTAAAAACTGGCTTGTTCGTCTCAAATCCATTTAAGCTGCTGCTCCATCCTCCAAAATCATGCCTGGAATATACCAAGAACTTGCACAGAAAGGCTTGTCTTCGGATTAAGGTCTCCAGCTACAAGAATAGGCCACCTGAATCACACATTTTGGGGAAGGCAATGAAAGCACTAGCCCATCTATTCATAAAATATTATTTCGTTTTCATAAATTGGCACATATCTGCCAGGGCACCCCACTCTCTACTACAATGGCCTCTCCAGCATTACAGAAAGCAGGATCCACCCTTTCCCTGCCCGGCCTGCAGTCCTTTGGGGATTGAAAAATGTCCAATCATAAATTATGCTGGGTGGGGAAGAAATAATATAATTCATTCATTTACATATTCCTTTCTGTGCTTGTTGGCAGCCATGGTTAGAATGCAGTACTGCAAGCTACTTCTGCTGACTGCCAGCTGACTGCAGTTTGGCAGTTTGAATCTCACCAGGCTCAAGGTTGTCTCAGCCTTCCATCCTTCCAAGGTCAGTAAAATGAGAACCCAGATTGTTGGGGGCAATAGGCTGACATTTGCAAACTGCTTAGAGAGGGCTGTAAAGCACTGTGAAGGGGTATAGAAGTGCTATTGTTATTTCCTTGGCAGATGACTAAAGTTTTACCAGGAACAACGGAAATTCCTTCAAAGTCATGGGTATCCCATTCATTTGCAAGCAACATTCAAGAAATTCCATTATTCTGGCTAGGCAAAGCCTTCTTTGACACCTTCAAAGGCTGCACGGATTATACCTTCTGTTCAATGTGGTTGCGTGTGTGGTAGTTAAGGATGGGCTGTAGGCCATGTGCATCGGTTGGTGCCTCTGGATCCAGTGAGAAGTTCAGTGACAGGTGGATGGGGGAGAGCTTATCCCGGAATTCGGACTCATTCTGGAGAGAGAGAAAAAGGCATTGAGCAAAGGTGGGGAATAAGCCATGAAGAAATGCCTGCTACTGTCATATGGGCTTGTTTGCTCTCTTTTGGCTCCTCTGCAAACCAGAGCTTCAGAACCAACCACATTCCAGCTAAAATATGTAGTTAAAACATGCCTACACTCCTAGCCCTCAATTAATTGTTCTGTAGTTGAAAATGACAAGTTCTTGAAACTCTTGTTGTGGTCTCTCTTTAAAATATCCATAAATTATGTCAGAATATCAGTGACAAATAGAACTGGTTACATCTTTATTCCACTGTTTCTCAAAAAGTAATTGTCTTCTTTGTTTTACAGGATTTTCCTTCTGCGGCCTCCAATTTTATTCTAATGGAGGTATAGTTTGGGTGAGGCGGAATGAGGTGGCTGGGAAGATGGAATCCAGGCCTCCGCAGGATTAATTTGATGTTCTTCCCTACGTTATTCTGTTTTGAGTCTTTAAATAAAGGTCAATCTTAGCAGAGATTTAATGACTTAGGTGCATAGCTTTATGAGTCAGGGTGTTTCCTAGTAGCCCCATTACCTATATACAAATCTGTTGAAGGCCTGTATGAGCAAATCCACTGCCTCAATGCGGCACGGAGCAAGGGTCATTTTCTAAATACTTCCCATCCAGCACAACACATAATTCTTCCATTTTAGGGCAGCAACGTAAAAAGGAGCATCATCAGAGCGGCCTCGGGACATTTCTCATTCTGGAGAAGACAGTTTACAACGAGAGGGAAAGGCAGGATTCACAGAAGTAGATTCAACTCACCCTCAGGTAAATCTTCATCTCGCGGCACTCCGAACTGGCTCCGTTGCGAACTTGGAGGGTCTGAATGAGGTGGGATTGCTGGGAGTGCAGGAAGAGGGCCCGCTTAACTGCTCCTTTGTGTTTGAGGTGGTCGAGATGCAGCTCCACAGTGAATCCTGCCCAATGAGAGAGAAAGCAGAACCAAGTGAGATGTTTCGTCTTCCATGCTTGACCATAGTTGATGAAGGCTCAAGGGTCTATCAGAAAGAAAAGCAAATCCCTTATGCCTGAGGTCTGCTCAACCACGCTACATAAAAGTTTGGTTGCCTCCATACAAAAAGGGGTTGCAAAAGGATTTGTTTCGGCAAGTCCCTCTGGATTATGAACCATCTCAAGTTGATGTCAGGTCACACTTCCTTTTAAAAAAATGCAACTTTCCCATGCATCAGTTGAACCATTAAGCATACAGGCATACAAGGTGGTTCGCGGTATTTAACTGTAGAACCTTCATCTCGAAAAGAAAACATCCAAACAATATGCTTGGAACAGAGCATGGAGAAGAGCAAGAAAGATAATAAGGAGTCTGGAGGCTAAACCATATGATGAATGATTGCGGGAACTAGGTATGCCTAGTCTAACGAAGAGAAGGACTAAGTGGAATGATAGAAGTCTTCCAATATCTGAAGGGCTGTTATAGAGAGGAAGGGGTCAACCTATTCTCCATAGCATCTGAAGGCAGGACAAGGAGTAATGGGTGAAGTTTACTAAAGACAGCGCTAACCTAGAACTAAGGGGAAATTTCCTAACCGTGAGAACAATTAATCAGTGAAACTGCTTGCCTTCAAAAACTGTGGGTGCTTCTTCATTGGAGGTTTTTAAGAAGAGACTGGATAGCCATTTGTCTGAAATGGTATAATGTCTTTTGCTTGAGCAGGGAGTTGAATTAAAAGACTTCGAAGATCCCTTCCAACTCTCTTATTCTATGTTCCATGTTCTAATGTTACTACACACTATTAAAATATAGCCTAAAACCCAATAATTAGGGACTCTTGTAAAAGCTGAGATTTAAAAATCCTTTTTATTAACTTCTTACTCACATTATCATTTGGATGATGGGAGGGGAAAAAAAGGAAGCCATATCTTGTCATGATGATTTTAAGATTTTTTCAAAAACAAAACTCTAATCCTCATATTGGTGGTTTTATATTGGTGAATATTCTTTCGTTGTTTGGATATGCATCATAGAATTATTGTCCCAAGGGTGCTTTTTTTCAAGAGGCAGCTGGATTTTCTTGAATTTTAGCCCTCTTTACAATGCTTAACTAAAATTCACAACGTTCTTCATCAGCAAAGGCAAAACATCTTGTTTCTTCCTCGATAATTCTAGCTTTATCCAGGGCTGTCTACCGTTTGATCGCTTTCTGACTACTGGACTGCTAGTGCCTTGGCTGTCTTTCCAGCCTCCAAAACCATTTCATGATCTCATTGTCAGCTTCTGACTGTAGAATCTAAGCACACCTAGTAAGGTTACTTCAGTTTGATCTCTACTGTGCTTGGACGAACTCCTGGATGTACAGTATGTGTAGTCATTCTGATGGATTCTGAAACAGCTGTCTTCTTCCAGTATTGACAATGACATGGACACGTGAAGAAACTAGATCGGCCCAACAACTGCCAAGATCCTTTCCCCTTTTTGTCCTACAGTTACTCACCAATGGAATCAGGAACATGCTTTCCAGATGCATTTAAACAGAAGCTCAAGTTGATGCTGTTGACACATAGGGGGGGGGAAAGGAGCAATGAGACAATGTAAGAAATCTGTGACAGACAATGCACTCTGATGACAAGAGAGCTGAACAGGGTGAAAAATATGGGCCTATTTCGAAATAATGGTTTGGGCTAAGCCCCTTAGTGGAAAAGCATTTTGTCACAACAAAAACAAGGAGAAAGGATAGAAAAAGAAGTTATTCTAGGAACCTTTACTGGTTGTTAACAGTGGAGAAAAATAAAGTCATCACACCTGATTGGGATAAAGAGGGATGGGTGGGACCCTGTCTGGCTGACTCAGCCTCTCCTTCCGGCCGTGTGGTCCCAGATGGGTCATGAACTGGACAATCGCCCAATTCAGAAACATGTTTAACAAGCAGTCAGGATAACCCCATGGAGCTGAGCACTTGGAAAAACTCTTGTCTGTACATAAATTCCCCCACTATCTCTGTCACAGACTGAAAACTAGCATTGTTTAGTTAGATCAAATCTGCAAGACACATGGCTGGTTTCCATGTTATTTTAGCACAGCGTGATAAATTGAAAATGTCCTGCGATAAATGTCCTGCGAAAAATGTCCTATTCCACTGTTGCCATAAAACAGGGCTGTCAAACTCATGGGCTGGATGAGACAGGTGCTGGCCACGCCCATGCCCGGTTTAGCGAAGGGGAATACAGTCGCGATATGTCACGTGACGATGCCATGATGACGTGAGTTTGACACCCCTGCCATAAAATATCACACTAAACAACAATTTTCTTATTCTTCTTTTAAGAGCAGGGCTGTCAAACTCCCGACCCACGGGACGGATGCGTCACAGGCTGGCCACGCCCATGCGCCCGGTTTAGCAAAGGGGGAAAAAGTCCGGAAACATAATATGACACTGCTGTGATGCCATGAGTTTGACACCCCTGTTTTAGAGTCATGGAATCATGGAAGAGCCATCACCCCCCAGATGTGTGCAAGAATGCAAGTCCCAGGCACACATCCCAGGCACACAGCTGTCTAGCCTCTTCCTGAATACATCCCTCCACCTTTAGATGGTTCCTTCCAAAGGGCTCCCGCTTTTAGGTAGCGCTGAATAGAGTGAGTGGAAATAGGCAAGGTAACTAAGTCAGCGTTCCTAATCCTATGCCCCTGAGATGGTCAGGACCAGAGATGGTATTCAGCAGGTTCTGACCAATTCTGGAGAACCGGTAGCGGAAATTTTGAGTAGTTTGGAGAACCAGCAAATACCACCTCTGACTGGCCCCACCTCCATCTGTTCTCTGACTCCCAAGTTCCAGCTGATTGGTTCGGTCTTCTTTTGTACAGGAGAATGGAGCTGGAAAGCAGGTTAGTGGGGTGGGGAGAGAATGAGGATTTTGCAGTATCCTTCCCCTGCCACGCCCACCAAGCCACACCCACAGAACCGGTAGTAAAAAATTTCTGAATCCCACCACTGGTCAGGACTCCCAGAATTCTTAGCTGGGATTTGAGGCTCTGGATTCTATAAACAGCCTTCCCCAACACCTACAGGGTAGGAAGACCAAACTATAAGACCTTATAGAGTCAGGAGCCTACAGGTAAGTATAACAACTGTTGGCAACGACAGGTGTCACAACCACTTGCACCTCTTTCTGCTTTCCCTATTTTATCCACTAACATACAGATCAGCCCACTGCATACAGGTAGTCCTCGACTTATGACCACAACGGAGCCCAAAATTTCTCTGGCTAAGTGACACACGTGTTGCCCCATTTTAGGACCTTTCTTGCCCACAGTTGTTAAGTGAATCGCTGCAGTTGTTAAATTACTTAAACTGTTGTTAAGTGAGTCCGGCTTCCCCATTGTCTTGGCTTGTCAGAGGGTCACAAAAGGGGATCTCACATCCCCTCAGGACACTGCAACCGTCATAAATACGGGTCAGTTGCCAGGCTCTAAATTTTGATCACATGTCTATGCTACAAAGGTCGTAAGGGTGAAAACTGGCCACAAGTCACTTTTTTTCAGAGCCGTTGTAACTTTGAACAGTCACTCAATGAACTGTTGTAAGTCGAGGACTACCTGTAAAATGGGCAAACGGCCTTCTTTTAAATATGTTCGATCTATATTTCTTATATTATGCCCAACTTGGTATAAAAATGAACGAGCCCAGCTATATGTTCTACAAACACAAGCCCCTCAGTAAACCATTGAGCACTGAGGAGAGAACACTTCAGATATGATCTAAGGCAGGGGTGGGCAACTATGGCCCTTTTATGAATTATGGACTTCAACTCCCAGAATTCCTGAGCAAGC